ATCCATATGATATCAAGGTTGAGGGCTTGGCCATATGTTTGCATGTTGCATGGTTATCTCCTACCTTCTTGTTTGGAGAGACCTGAAAGTGTGCTGCAGCCCTGGCAGCATCTCACTGTGTGCTTTGCCAAGCAAACATTGCCCAGCTTCCAAAAGCCCAAACTGAACTGTGTGCCTTACTTGTTTTGCTTCTGCTGTTGAACTGATCTGTAATTCCAATCAAATTGTGTGAAAAATTTCCATTTGATAAAAGGCAAGTTGCCTAATATTTATTTAACACGCATTTATCTGTAGTAACTTAGACTTTCCAACTATGGACTGGGAATAATGTTTGTGTGTGTGTGTGTGTGTGTGTGTGTGTGTGTGTGTATGTGTGTGTGTAAGAGGGAGCGGACAGTATGATAATGCATGTGTGCATGTGTGGGCATGTTTATTGTAGGTATGTGTGTAAGTGTGTGTGCCTGTAGCAATGCTGAGGTGATGGTGACTTGGGGGGGCCTAGAAGAAGAGAGGGGGCTGTAGTTAGAGGCCTGATCCTCCTGAATGAGTTAATGGTCTTAAGAGAATGACGCAGCTCTTAGGAGACTGGATTACATCCCAAGAGAGGAGGCAGTTATCAAACAAATTCAGCTTTCTTGCTCACTTATTTCTTCCCCTAACACATCTGCCATTCTGTACAAGTTTGATGTGGGAAGTCCTTCTGTATATGTGTTGCTTTTATTGGTTAATGAATAAAGAAGCTGTTTTGGACAGTGGCTTAGCAGAATAGAGCTGGGGGGGGGAACTAAACTGAATGCTGGGAGAGAGAAGGTGGAGTCAGTGAGATACCATGTAGCCAGCCGCCGGAGGGGAAAGACGCAAGTTGCCAGTTGGAACCTTGCTGGTAGGCCATGAACCTCATAGTAAAATATAAAATAATGGAAATGGTTTAATTCTAGATATAAGAGCTAGCTAGCTAGCAATATACTTAAGTTATTGACCAAGCAGTGATTTAATTAATACAGTTTCTGAGTGGTTATTTTGGGAGTCTGGGCATTCAGGGACGAACAAGCAGCCTCCTCCTATTACACAAGTTCACTTCCTGCCATCAGAATCATTCAACCAAGCAAATATAAGTTTTTTTTTATATGTTTTATTCTGTTGCTGTGACAAAACACTCTGGCCAAAGCAACTTAGGGGAGAAAAGTGTAGGCGGAGACTGCTTGCTGGTTTCCCAGCCATCCAGACCCAAATAATAACACAGAAACTATATTAATTACAATGATGTTTAGTCAATAGCTTAAGCATATCTTTAGGTAACTCTTATATCTTAAATTAACCCATTTCTATTATTCTGTGTATTGCCACAAGTCTACATGGTGTCTCCCTGACTCTGCCTACTTTCTATATCTCTGTTCAGATTTCCTGCCTAGCTTTACTCTACTAAGCCATTCGCTAAAACAGCTTCTTTAATAACCAATGGTGATAAAACATATTCATAGCATACAGAAGGGAATCCCACATCAGAAAAAAAAGCTGGTTTTGGTTTTTGTTTTTTTGTTTTTGCCTTACAATGTCAGAATACAGTTTGTCATTGCAGGGCAGTCAGGGTGACAGGAACTGGTTGTATTATGTCTTGAGTCAGGAACAGAGAGCAATGAATTAATGCATGCATGTTTGCTGTACTCAGCTTGCCTTCTTTACTCTCCTACAATTGAGGGGGTGAATCTGCTCACCTTGCCCATGAGTTTTCTAGTCCCGCCACCCAAAGCCTTGCTGAATGGCCTCTCCATCAGCTTGATATTACACTCAGCCCTTTAGGACAATGGGACCCACTGCCGTTTAGAATAGGTGGTGGCGATGGGGTGGGGCACTGAGACGGTGGCTCCAGACACTGAGATGCAGATTCAGTCCTTCAGTCTGGAATGTGCTGTACACTAATAACACACTGCCATGTCCGCCAGCCCATGAAGCTGAGGGCCAGCGAGTGCAGGAGTGACCTTCCCACTGCATCTGGTGAGTGGCCTTTTATTTATATTTGTGCAGCTTTGTGCTCTTGGAGATTAAAGGTCCTAATTGCTGCATGTGGGAATGGTGACAATTCTTTCGAAGCCCATAGCAAATGTCCTCATTTGAATGGAACCTGTAATTACCACCTGTGTGTGTGTGGGGGGGGGGCAGGTAGAGTGTCTTTCTTGAAGTCAGTTGGCTCACCAGGAAAGGCAGGGGTTACAACTATAAACAGCAAGGATGAGGATTGCTTGTTCATGGTGGCGGCAGGATGGAGGGCGCCTTTCTAGCTTGCAGCACATGTGGTGGGGGAGCAGTAGCTCTGTGTAGGGCGCTGTCACACTTTGCTCCCTACTACGTCACGTCACTTTTCATTGAAAACCAGCAATTTAATCTGTTCCTGTGAGCAATCAGAAATTTTTGTCCCCATAAGTTTCTTGTTCATTCCATAAAAGTTCCAAAAGCATACATTCTTATACAAAATACACCGTGAACAGTTATGTCTTCTGAAGTCATAGTGCGTTTTATAAGGTAAAAAGAATGGGGCGGAAGGGCACTAACTAGAGGTTCTGCCATGGCTTATCTGTAGCCCCGCTTTGAAGCCTCTGTTGTAATTTGTCTGTAATTCCCCTTTTGGCTTTTTCCATTTGAGGAATGCTAATGTGTTAGCATGTGGGAGGGTCTGAGCTGGCTTCAGCTGTCTCCAGCTTTGTTCCCCATCCACCACGGGAAACCTCACCTAGTGTGTCTAAGGCCCCCATGCCGTTTCTGGACCTTCTATTGTGCTGTGTGCATTGATACCAATCTTTATTTAATTATCCAAGGTTACTTCCCCTTTATAACTCACAAGGCAGGTCTGTTCCATTCACTAACTCTTGTTACTAAAGGAGTGTCTTGTCTAGTCTTAACTCAGTATTCTACCTGGGAACATGAAATAATGACTCTGTTCTTATAGAAAGTCTGTTTTTCTTCTGTGGCCTCCACTCTTTCTGTGATTTCCGTCTTATCACTGGCACACCGGCTTTCATGTGTGGGTTGCTTTTGACAGTATCACAGAGTTTGGCTTAGTAATTCTAGTGATTTGCTTAGGTTTCTAAAACACAGAAGAGTTCAATGTTTTTGGAAAGTGTATATAGTTTTTGAAAAGCCCTGCATATGTTATCCCCTCCAGGTACTACTTAGGCTTATTATAGTTCTTTATCTTTACCGTACCAGGGCCTGAACCCAGGGCCTCATGCATTAACCAAGTGCTATGCAGCACCCAGTGACATCTGTCTCCAACCCTCATTTTACTTCTTGAGACAGTCTAAGTTTCTCAGGCTGGTCTTAAACTCACTTGGGAGACTAGGCTGACCTTTCAGAGTGGCAGAGGTCATGAGCCAGTGGCCTACCAGTTTTGGCTCCTTGGTTTGTTTCTAACTTGGTTTGCAGAAGGAAGAAGCTCACACAGCTTTATAGGCTTCTCTGTCTCTGGGCCTCTTGCTCATGAGGTGTCAGGACTTGGCACTGGGGCTCCTCCTGGGGCCCAGAGCACCACACCCAAGACCCAGTGTTCACATACCTTCAGCAAGATTAACTCTGCTAACCTTGGTACCTGAGCTTCCTGTCTCCACTAAGGCTTCCCTTACCAAACTGGCTCACAACTCCAAAGCAGGATTCCTAGAGCCGTGTGTGTTCTTGGGTAGAGCCACCAGGCCCATCCCTGCATCACCCTAATGTCAGTGCTGACACTTTCCAAGGAGGGGACTTAACGGAGCTTCTGTGTCCTGAGGATGCTGCCCTTAAGAGGACCTGTACATGGAACATGCCCATGAGGTCTCCAGTAGAACGCCAGCATCTCTGCTGGCCTCAACCTTCCCATCATCTTTGGAACACAACAGTTATCTTCCTTGCTGGGCCGTGGTTTTTGTACCTGCTGGTTTCTATTTCTCTTTGATCCCCATCCCATTCCCTAATGCCATCGAGGGATGGCTCAGTCCTGCTTATCCTCATCCTTAGGCCATGAGCCTTACTTAGAGTATCATGTAGACCTGAGTGGAGCTAGGTGAGGACTCTTCCACTGACAGCTCCAAGGACAGACACTCTTTTTTTTTTCTTTGCTTTAACATAATTTCTTTATTGAATCTTTGGAAATTTCACATTTTGCTACCCAATACCACCCACCTCCCAGTCCCTCCATATCCTCCCCCCTCCCACCTGCAGTGGTCCCGCAAAACAAAAATTAAAAAAAATCAAACCAAACCAAAATAAAACAAAGACCAAGAGAAAAACACACAAACAAAACAACAACTACAACAACAAAAGAACCTCTTTGCTCCTCCATCTTTCCCCCTCTCCAACACCTCTTCATCCGTCCTGGTCATCTCTGGGATCTAGACAGTGTTGCTAAAGGTTTAGTGTAATAAGCAGGGTGCATTCACATACTGGGCAAAGCAGTCTGACATTCCTGTCCTTATTCTTCAAACGTAAGGAAAAATTCCTCAAGATAGAAAAATTCCCATTACATGAGTCTTAGTGGGAGGAACCTCCTGAAACTGAAGACATGTATGTGTGGATCTGTGACTCAAAGGCAGCATCTCACAAAAGCACGGGCACACATCTGTGCACACACACAATCCCCTGAATCTCCCTCAGGAGCAGCTGGGAATTGCTCCCCATGGAGGTGGCTGGTACCTGCTCAGTAGCAGCAGAGGATAGACCTAAGGGACATGCTAAGGACACTGAGAGTCAGGAATGAGCAGGCCTGCCTGTCTCCTCGCCACCCTACCTTGCTCCATCCTAGCTCGCCAGTCTTCTCTTTGACAGTGCGATGCTCTCCTGACTTCCACCATCTGGGGGGTGGCTGTCGCAACCCAGCCAGGGCCCCCGGGCCGGCCAATTCCAAAGCAGTCATCTTCATTCTGGGTTTTTTTTTTTTTTGGTACCCTTGAATTTCTGAGCCGGTCTTACAGCATCTCAGTGACAGCAGAGTCTATGCATGAATGTGTGTCTACAGTACATAACACAAGACAGGCAGGTAAAACTCTTTTAATTATATTTCGGTGAACAAGAACAACGCCGCTGCAGTCCTGACCCGGTCAGCAAGCAGGTTCTTTGGCACTGCCACAGTCCACGCCGTCTGGGACCAGAACCCTCAGGCACCTGCAAGCCCGGCTGAAGATGGCTGCTTACCCTCCTTTGTTCCTCTGAGCAAGACAATGAAACACAAGACAGGAGAAAATACTTCATGGGCTCGTTGCGATCATACAATCGTCACCTTACCAGTCTGTTCCCCAAAGCTGACAGCATCTTTGGTAAGGAGTTTGCACACAAAGCAAGAGCATCTTCAACTGGTGGGGTCTAGCTAAGCTGGACCTTGTAGCAGTACGACCTCAGGATACTTGTTCCGTTGCTTCTGGCTTCCACCCCAGCAATGCTCATGCTGTCACTTTTCACATGGGTAAACCCACTACAACGAAGAAGGACAGGCCATGAGTTAACCTTGGGATAAAGGCAAACGTTTAAGCAGAAAAGGTTTTATATGGGGATGGAGTCCGACCTCATTTTTGCAACCCTCTGTGGCTCACCGGTATCCCATTTCCTCTAGGCTCAGAAGGGAAGGCCGTGTCAGGTCCCGCCTGGCAGTGCTGGGCATCACAGTGATTCTCGTGTGGTGGCCCAGACATGCCATTGTTATACTAAGCCCATCTCTACCAGAAACCCAGAGGTGGTCAAAGGCGTGTGCCCATAAGAGCTCCCAGGACCGACTGTTTCTCACAAGGCCTTTTCAAGGCCTAAATCATGGTCTGGCCACATGTTCTTTGTGGACCATGCACAGAGAACCTAAATTTGCAAAGTGTGGGCGATGCCAACACAGGCTGGTTTTACACAGCACAGGAGACAACATACAGCACACAGTAAGAGCTGGAAGTCTGCCTTGTGGCTTTTTGTCCGCCAGCAGAAACAGAAGCAGGGTGTTCACAGTGGCTCATCTGAGGATGGACTTACTCACACTCTCTTCAACCTTTCCTTTAGGATCCTTCCTTTGAGCAGATGTGATGTGCACATCTGGTCTCAACTATTTAGCAGAATGAGGTGGGAGGGTCACTGGATTCTGGAAGTTCAAGGCTAGCCTGGGCAACATGACAAGACTCGTTCCAAAAGAAAGAAAACCAATTGCTTTACACTTTACAGATACAGGGCAGGAGGACAGCCAATTACCTGGCCCATCTGAGAGATCCCCCAAGCAAATGATAACAGCTCTTGAGGACGGGAAATGTGTTCTTCTTATTCCACACATAGACACGCAAAGACAGGTCCAAGGACGAGGTGATGACTCGGTGCGGATCCTTGGGATGAAGTCAAATGAGGCATGGCTGTGGATGCCCAAGACTGGAAAGCATGCCTCGGGCAGGAGATGGTACACTCACCACCCATATGGATGTGATGGGCCTCTGGTGGTCCTGGAAGGCTATCAGATGCACGCCATCTATGGTGAACAGCATCAGCTCTGACCGGGTGGCCAGCAGGATCACTTGGGAGCCGTGGGCCTGCATGAGGTGCGGAGACATAGTGTCTGGCAGGAGGAAGCTGGCCAGCTGTTGTGCTGGGGAGAATAAAAACACACAGGTGGCTCTTCAGGCATGGGTATGCGCCTCGCCCGACGGTCCACTGCAGTGAGAAGAACTTGGCTCTGCAGTTAGGAAAGCTCTGTTCCTGCTCTGGCGCCAATCCCAGTCCAGCAGCAGCAAAATGCTGAGGTGCTGCCACCCTCACAGGAGGGGGCCATGGGCATGGAATTTACACCTAAAGCCCTGGACCACACAGGGACCAACATGTGGTAAGCACCCCACCACTCAGGACATGAAATCCCACAGTAAAGCTTCTAGGATACTCTGCTTCCACCTCCCTGAAAGGGGAGAGAAGATGCCCTCGAGGGACTGCGAGAAGCCTGTCCTGAAGCACCGAACTGCAGGCTGTGGCCAGCGCAGGAGCCTTACCCAGGATGCTCACTCTGTCCCTGGACTTGCTGGCCTTTAGACTGAAGGTAGTGATGACCAAATGCATGCCACTGTCATCTCTGTGCATCACTATCAGCCTGGCTTCCTCATCCGGAGCCCAGCAGGCCCTGCAACTCAGCCTGACAGGGAGGGTGGTGGAGACAGGAAGCTCGTCTTCTGATGGGTGGAGCAAGGACTGAGTGTAGAACACCTGGGGAGACAATCCTTTATGGTCACAGAGGGTGAGGGGCCCGAGAGAGCCCAAAGCCCTCCAGCCCCAAGCTAGCTCCAGCCTCTGGCAGGACTGTCTTCAGCAGCTGGCTGCCCGCATACCCACACCCTATATACGGGGCCTGACAGGGCGGTCAAAGTCATTTTTAGGTCCCCTTTCTATGCATCCCACGTCCTCTGCACTCAAATGCTATTCTCTAACGACCTGCTTCCCCGGCTACCACTAGCTCTTATTTCTGTGGCCTAACAGAAATTTTAGTTTAGGTCCTGGCATTCAATAAGGGCTGTGCCTCTGGCAAATGACTGGACGTTTCTGTGTCTATGAACCAGGTCATGGTCAGGACCTTGTGACTTGCAGGGCACTCCTCCTGACCACAGTGCTGGAGGCAGAGAACACCCCCCCACACACACACACACATACACATCATATGCTGTCGTCTGGATTGGGCCTCCCTGCTCACCGTTGTCTTCACACCATCCTCAGCACACCAGACAGCTCTTTAGAGGAGCATGCTGGTGGAGATGCTCAAGCCCAGATTGTAAGGAACTGACTTTGCCCTCCCCAGCGAGAGCTGGCCTTTCCAGTAAGAGAGAGGCACACTCCCGTCTGGTTACAGGGCCTGGCCCTGTAGTGATAGCCTGAGAACCTAGTCTTACAGTCTCGGGGTCCAGGCTCTCTAGCAACCTCCTGTTGTTGTTGTTTCCTCTCTTACTTTTTGGAGGGCCCACCACCAAGCTCCCAAAATAAATCACATGGAGGCTTATTCTTACTTATGAATGCCCGGCCTTAGCTTACCTTGTTTCTTGCCAGCTTTTCTTAACTTAAATTATCCCATTTACCTTTTGCTTCTTGGGCTTTTACCTTTCTCTATTTCTGTATATTTTTTTCTTCCCTTCTTATTCCATGTCTAGCTGATTGGCTATGTAGCTGTGTAGCTGGTGACTGTGTGGCTGTGTTGCTGTGTGACTGAGTGGCTGTGTGACTGTGTGGCTGTGTGATTGTGCAGCTGGTGGCTGTGTGGCTGTGTGGCTGTGTGGCTGGGTGTCTGACCCCTTCTTTTCTTGCTCCTGGATCTCCTCTCCCAGATTTCTCCTCCTACTCATTCTCTCTGCCTGCTAGCTCCGCCTATCCTTCCTCCTGCCTTGCTATTGGCCATTTGACTCTTTATTAAACCGATCAGGTATTTTAGACAGGCAAAGAAACACAGCTTCACAGAGTTAAACAGATGCAACATAAAAGAATGCAACAACACATCTTTGCATCATAAAACAAATGTTCCACAGCATAAGCAAATGTAACACGCCTTAAAATACAATTCCAGAACAACCTCCAACTGCATTGGGTTGATCAGGAATAGGGGTCACCAGGCACTGACCTTCGGGCCTATGTCTGGTCCTTGTGCCAGCACAAACACCCACTGTTTGTCAGGTGAGCACGTGAGGCTCACGGAGGTGTGAGGAAATGTCGCCACTTTGGAGACCACTTGCAGCTGAGGAACTGTCAGAGTGTAGAGGTTCCCTTCAGCACAGGCTACCTGGAACAGAAAGCAAGTAACAGTGGGGAGTACCACCATCTTCTACAGGAGCTGTGCCTCCCCCCACTGAAGGGTGGGCACAGCCCACAGCAATGTGAGTCTCCTGCAGGAGCTTGGCATGTGACCCTCAACTGCCCTTCCTGTCAGTGACAGCAGCAGCTTGCCTGTGTGTTTTACATTGAAAATGATTCCTCTCACTCTGATGGCACTTTTAAAAGTCAAAAGAAAATGTTTACTAATTTGGGACGAGCTGCCAGGAGTGCAAATGTCACCACAATTACTGCTGCACCGGGTGCTCCCAGCTAGACCCTATACACACATGCAGGCTTACATTCAGGGGGATGCCTAAAATTAGAATTACTAGGTTAAAGGGTAAGCCTATTTAAAATGTTTCATAAAATGAAAATAACCAGAAAGCTCTGGAAACTAGTTCCAAGCACATCCCCACCTAACATGCAGAAAAATAAACATTTTAAGACTTCTGGGTAAGGGGCCTGTCCAGACTGGCCTGAAGGATGAGAGTCAGAATAGGAAGACATCAACTTCAAAAAGGTGGTGGCACCAGCTGAGAGTGTGGAGGAAGACAAACAGCTGGCACCAAAAAGAACCAGCTTCAACCATGGCTGTGTGTGTGTGTCTGTGTGTGTGTGTGTGTGTGTGCGCCGGAGTGCCTGCATACCTGTGTGCGTACAAGCCAAAACCTCGTTGAAAGTAAGCCAGGCCTCATCCGGTGACAGGGCTACCTATCCTATTCTCAGGACAAGTCCACAACCCTCACACCCAGCTCCAGGTCTGGGTGACAGTGTGATTTTGCCAGTGGATAATCAATACTGGAGAAGACTCTCACCATGTCACTATATGATGCAGAGGGCACTGCCCAGGGGCTGTGGTTTGAAAGAACCCGTTTAAAATGGTGCTGCCCTGGGGTCCTGAGAGCAGAGTGCAAACCCAAGTCAAGGAGCCTGAATTTAACCTGCGACAACCCCAAGGTGAGAGCCCCTGAGGCCAGCTGTAGAGGCTTCAGTAAGGACAGACACTGTCAAGCTAGAAGCCTCGGGAAACTCAGTGTAGGCACTAAAGTATGTGCCCACCCCTGACAGTCAGGAGCCAACTAAGAATGACGGTGGTAAGAAAAGCTGCATATAGAAGAAAGCAAGGCCATGTGGCCACAAAACCATAAGAACTCCACACAGCAGGTTCCCACCACCGCAGGAGAGGCTGCAGAGACAGGCTTAGGCTGTGCAGAAGTCTGAAGGACAGCGGAGCCTGCATTCCCCGTGGTGGGCAAGGAGGAGCCAGAAAGGCAGGGTCTGCTATGAAGTGGGATCCAGACTCCTCCCACCATCGTGGCTTTAACCAAGAGGTGGTTAGGCCCTGAGGGGCTCCTGAGAGCAGGGTCACTCACCATCAGGAAGGGGCCCTCTGGGTGACCACAGGCCTCCATGGAAGAACAGAAGGTTGGTAGGCGGAACGAGGCCCACTCAGATCCGGTCTCTGCTTTCCACCCGGTGATCAAACCCTGTCTGTCCAGTGTGACAACCAGCTGCAGCGAAGGATAGGCCACCAAACTCACCAGAGGAGCAGGCTGTACAGGGCTGGACCAGATCTCTATGCCCTGGGGACAACAAAGTTACCATAACTGACTGATACAGGGGCCCCGTCGATTTCACAGATCCGTATTACTTCATCAGTCAGCACAGGCTTACCCGAGCCGACTACACCAGGCTCCACAGCACACACAGAGCACGGATGAAAAGGCTGTGATGGACCAGGGAATGGCTCTAGGATCACCTAGGAAACAAACCTCTGTGGTGTGTGAGGGGTTTTCTAGATTAACTGAGCTGATACCATCTGATGAACTGGGGTCATGGGCTGCTCTCAAGGATCTGACACCCTCTTCTGACCTCCATGACCTCACAGACACAGAGCAAACCTTCAGAAAAATCCTATTTCTGGATGTGGAAGGATGCACATTATAAAAACAAGCGGAAAAAAAAAAAAAAAGGCATGGTATCTAAGGCCTGCGAGCTACAGGGCAAAACCCAGCCTTGTATCAAAAGCCAAAGAAAAAGGCAGGAGAAAGGCCAAATCGTTAACACTGTTAACTTGAAGGATTCGAGAAAGGGATAGAAATTGTTTGTAATTTAAATAACTAGGTTTCTGTTGTTTATTTAAAGTAAAGTGGCTTTAACCTCTACTCTAAGACTAGGAATTGAACCCCGAGCCACATACATGACCAGGCAAACGCTGTCCCACTGAGCCACAGTTCCAGCCTGCCATTTTTGTTTCAGGAGCTTTTAAGGCACAAAAACACACAAAGAAGCTGGATGTAGGCCACACCCTTGATCTCCTTCAAAGAGCACATGTAAATACTGTGCAAGTTTCAATGCAACACGGCACCAGTGTTAGAAACTGAATCTTTAAGGAAGAAACTATAGCTGCTCGTGAACGTTAGGAAGGTTGGGAAGCCAGGCCAAATGGCGGGAAGGGCTGTTGGCCGTCTGAGGTGTCCCATGCTGCAAACAATGGAATGCTAATTTAAGGTTTGGTACACTGTGACCTGCCGGCAGCCACACAGGCCACTGCACATTTTTTGTATCTGGTTTAAAAACAGAATATCTAAGGAAACCACGTATTACTGGAGTGTGCTACTCACACTTGTTCACGCATTGTCCGTGGCTCCTTTTGTGGCACAGCTGCAGAGTTAAGTAGTTATGACAGAGGTTCTGGCCTAAGAGGAGCAAAGTGTTCACCATCTAGTTGTTTAAAGAAAGCACTGCTGGCCCATGCAGCAAACGCACTCTGTTTTCTTTCGAAAAACCCAAACTAAGGAGAGCCCAACCCTCAACTTCTTTTAAAATTACTTACTTGGTCATTAGTGTGTGTGTATGTGTGTGTGTGTGTCTGTGTGGGCACATGCATGAGCAGAAGGAGCAGCCTGAAAGTTCTAGGCTAGCCTGGGCTACAGAGTGAGATCCTGTCTCAAAAAAAACCAAATCAAACCAAAACTCTAAAAGTCTTCACTTTTTACATCTGCAAAAGCACTAGAAAAGTTTAGAATTCTAGACAAGCTGTCCAGTTTGGTGTGCACACACATGGGATGACAAAAAGCTTGCAGAACCGTCTGGGGGTGCAGCATGAGCTCCAGCACTGAGGCCCCTGACTGAGTGGCTTGCAGGAAATGTGAGGAACGACAAAACAGCTGTCATCCCAGGCACAGGGCACAACAGCCCTGGCCACCACTGGCAAAGTCTGGTTCCAAGAGGAAGCCAAGCACGTGTCTGTCACATGGGATAGGTTACTCTCAAGTCTCAAAGCCATCTCCCCCCCCCCCCCTCCATGCCTATTATCAGTATGTCCCTACTGGTGACAGCTGATGGCAGAGCTCAGACTTCTCATCTGCAAAACTGGGCTCCTACTCTGCATTAAGACAATCAAACCCAGTAGAGATCCTTCCCTCCCCAGGGAGCAGTTCACCTCACGAAGATCCCAGGCACGCACGGTACAGTCTGAAGACACAGTGCAAACCACGGACCTTGCCCTCTCATCAAAGCGGTACTCATGGGGTGAGATGTAGGCCAGCTGATCTATCTTTCCTGGAAGAAAGCACACACATAGACAGACTCAGACCTGATACACAACTGGTCCTCTTCTCCAGTACCAGAAACACAATGCGTGCTTGCTGGGGGTGCATGAAAGAGACAGGGAGAAGTAGCTCAGACCCATGCAAGCTGATGGGCGAGAATTCCAGGGAGCAGAACCCAGTTATAAGTAGAGGTTTGGCTTATTCTATTTGAGTTTTTTGGTCTGCTCTGAAAAGGAGCTAACAGCTCATTCCTTCCTCCCATAACAGAGCACAGATGACATAGCACCCAGCAGAACCCACATGTTAACAAGTAGCACCAGCCAAGCCAGTAGCTGAGATGCCAAGATCCCTGCGATTTGGCCGGAAAGAGGGTGGGCAGTGGGAGTGGACATAGCTACGATCCTCCAGCTCGTACCTGTGTGCCCAGAAATAGCTTTGCTGGTGAAGTCCCGTGGCCGCCCAGATGCCACACGGAACTCCAGCTCAGACCGGCAGAAGTAGTACTGCCTCCACGTCTGGGTGCCCACGACCACTGGGAAGGCTTTGCAGGAGGCCCAGCGTCTCAGACACAGCTGCCTGAAACACAGATGCAAGCTTAGGCAGGGCACAGCAGTCTGATTTCCGACGCCAGGAGACATAGCTTTGAATTCTGGTCTTACCTCTGTCCGGGCTTGAAACCCTGGATAACTCACTGTTCCTAAGGAGTCCTCAACTCTCCTCTGTCAAACAGGGGCAGAGTTAACAGGAAATGAGTGGCGGCAGGCCAACCGCACTGTACTTTTTATATGACAACCCGCCCTTCACAGCGGCCTGCTGGGGAAGGCGCTCACCACCACTCTACATCAGATAACATAAATCCTTACGCCTGATCTCAGTCGACTCTGGCTGACGTCATTAGGCATTCAGCTTCCTCATTTCTGTTTGCATGAATATCTCCTTCCAAGGTCTTAATGTCAACACATCTGTCTTTTGATTCAAAATGTGTCTCGGAGATGGGGGCACACTCAGCCGTAGAGTGCTTGCCAAGTATGCACACTGGTACTCACTGCATTTGATCCCCAAATCGTGTAACAGAAAAAAAGAAAGCTACGTGTATCTCATGCATATAGCATGACGTCAGACTACTTTTCTTCGTCGATTCTGTCGCTCTGCCTTTTCATTGGGCTGTATATCATATCTTTGCTGTTTTAATGCTTCCTTGTTGTACGCGTTCCGCCCTCTATTTCATTACTATCGTATTTTGTGTTAAGTTTGGTCAAATGTACTGTTTCAATTTCTCTGTCATTTCTTGCACCATAGTTTTGGTTACTTTTTAGTGCTTTCCTTAAAGATTCTAACTTGGTTTTTGATACATCGGCAGCCGCACCAATCAGTTCATCCATTCTGACAATTTCTCTGAGTCACATACTTGGCAAGGCCTGCCTTTCCCCAAATGAACTACACCTGCTTAAAAGTCAGGTCTTCAAAGAGTAGACAGAAGAATGGATTCCAACAAAAGTCCACCTCAGAACTGACTGAGCGTGTCTTGCTAGCCAATGAGTTATAAAAGCTAAGAAAAGGCAACAAAAAGAAGTGTTCTAAGATGCTGAAGACGGAAGACGCTAAGATAGCCTTGAGATGACCAAGAATTCCAGGTGTTAGTTATCCTACATAAAAGCAAAGCCTCCCTCCCCGTCCCGAAGAAGCTTCACATCTGAGCAGCTGTTCTCCATTATGGGTGGAAACTCTAACTCTGACCTGACTTCCAAGGCTGTGGGCCCCACGCTCAGCCGGAGGCAGAAAAGGTCCAGGCCTGCATTGTGCCAGTTCCCTCTCCCTGTTTGTTAGTTTTATCTTAGTATAAAAGATAACAGGTTCCAAAGAAGCAAATGTAATATTTTAAATAATTCTGATTTATGCAATCTTAGATTCTTCTGCTGTTGTACCGTGACACGTAATCCGAGCTGGGCACAGTGGCCCAGGCTTGCAATCCCAGCACTCAGGAGGGTAATGCAGGAAGATAACCAGCTCAAGGCTAGCCTAGGCTACAAAGTAAGCACAAGGCCATCCTGGCTATGAAATGGATCCATTTATTCATTCGTTTGTTTGTTTTAAGTGCTTTGATTCTACTGACAGAAACTGCAGGAAATGAATCCAGCTGGTTGAGTTTGGCAGTCCTGCCAATACACAGTCTTACACTACTAACCATAGAGGATTCCTCATGGCTAAGGACCAGGGATATAATCCTTTCTCTGTCCTCAACACAGGCAGAAGTGAACACAGCACAAGGAAACCATATCCAGTGAGCGTCTCTCCCTTGCAGGACCACCCTTGGCTCTTCCTTCACTTACCTCCACAGTTCCTGGGTCACTGAAACCTCATTCCAGACCTAGGATAAGGACAGGAAGAGACAGCATCTGGTCAGTCAATAACTATTAAGCACCTGGCTTGCCAAACCCAATGGAGGGGACAAAAACCAAAACCAACCCAGTTTCCACATTCAACACAGCTCAACCTGGTGCATTGAAAGCAACAGACAACTAAAAACCACCAAATGATGAAAATGAAGAGACTCAGTGGGGTTGATGAGTCAGAGCCCGGGGGCTCAGAGATACAATGACTAATCAAAGACTGGCTGTTGTTCTAAATCAATGTAAGGAAACACACTGGATATGCAAATGATGCATAAACATGAAAGGATAGTTTCCTAAGTTGCCTCAGTTAGAGCATGAGGTTTGGTTGCAGAAGAACTGGGAAAAATTGCTGTCTGGGTGGCTTTAACCAACTCCCAACAGTCTCCAGGCAAAAATACTGAGAAGCAGCTACCTGAGCATTTTGACTGGGGGAGGAGCAAGGTCAAGCTGTGTGTAAGCAAGATCTCTCTGCTTGCTGTGAGGACGGGAAAGGACTTCAGATTTCTTATGTGGAGCTGCAGCAATGGGGATGCCTTAAGAGTTGCCAAGATGGTCCAATGGGAACAGTCTTCCAGGGCGGGTACTATGCAAGCCCTGTACTCACTTCTTTCTGCAGAGCTATCTGCAAGATGCTTAGGGTGCCTGAGTGTGCTGCTCAGGACTGTAATCTTAGCACTTGGGAGGTGGAGGCAGGAGGATAAGTTTAAAGTCACCCTCTGCTGCACAGCTAGTTCAAGGCCAGCCTGAACTGTGAGACTCCAACTAAAAAAAAAAAAAAAAAAAAAAAAAAAAAGAAAGAAAGAAAGAAAGAAAGAAAAGCATCTTTTTATTCAGTAATGATGTTGTAATTTTGCAAAATCAAACCAAGCAAAGATCTACGCATCTTCCCATTCAAAGCCAGCTGGGTGGGTTCTCCATTCTCAGAGACTGTTATGTGTGCTGTGCTCTACAGAACAAATGCTAACCATCTTTAATCCTTCCGTTAGACTCATAGCGATGTCTGACCTCCTTTAATGTATGGGTGGATCAGAACCAGGAAAAGTTGGCCATACCAAAGGGCAGAAGGAACTTTTCTTTCAAACTCGGCCTACTATGCAAAAACAGCGGGGGACTCACCTCAGCCCTGCACAAGACTCCATCATCACCTCAGAGAAGTCACTGTGTGACACTCAGTTTCCTGATGAGCATACATGGGGGTGGAACTCAGTCATTTCCCATATCTACTTAAAGTTATCCTCAGAGACTTGGAACTGTGAGGTGCTCCTGGCTGAGACCTGTCTGGGAGAGGTGAGGACCCCCTGTCTTCCTTCCCCACCAGAGACCTTGTGCTGGCAAATGGGCACTTTTGCTTGTGTTTTAGTTTTAAATGTAGCTTTGGGCCACATCAGTTCCATATGGGAAACCAAATTTACCCCGGTGTTTCACAGACACTGCCGGGTCCTTAGCCAGCTGTGGCCCTAGGGTACACCCTGTGCCTGCTGTTTTCAGTGGCACCTGAGACTGAAGGGTAGATGAGGCATGGGATAAAAATGGGAGACGAAGACGAGACTTAAAAAAAAAAATACCTTAAAAAAAAAAGGTGAAAGCGGCCTCATGTGTAACGTGGTAAATTAACTAACCCATTTTCAGAGGAAGAGATCATATATTCCTTCATTATGTATTACATTAATCCCAGTGGGTGAGAATAAGATCACCACCACAATTTTTTGAGCCAAATCCGAAGCAAGCTTTATCAAATACTGGCCAGAATGATGGACACTGGCCAGGCCCATGTCTGGAATTTCCAGTGAATGGCACCAGATTACATTAGATAGGGGTTTAAAAAGGCAAAAACCCACAAGGTGACGTACTTCTGCCTTTGTCTAAATAGGAGCACGCATACATCCTGACACACTTCCTGCTTACGTACCTGTGGTCAAGCACATCTGTGCAGTTGGGACAACCGACCTTGTCTACTGACGTGAAGATGGTGGCTTGTTATCAGGAACAACAGCCCCCAGCATTCCAGGAAGTTACCTGTCCTTGGGCAAGTGGGGCTCACAGGCTAGAGGCATTTTGTTTTATAGATCTCCCAAGCACAGTAATTTTAACTTAAAGCATAACTTCAGCTGTCACAATTGATAAACCAAGATGTTAAACAGATGCTGTAGGCAGACAGTCTCTATTTTCTCTCTAGGGTGTGGCCGGGACAAAGTGTAGAAGACAAGACTTATAAACTGTGGCAGTGTGAGCTAAGTTCTCAGGCTCACAAAGTCTTGGCAACAGATCCAGAGGAAAAAGATGCAGGCCCTCAGAAGTATCACAGTGTAGCAAAGAGAAGTGGCCAGAGATACTGTCAAACTACAGCAGCTTTAAAAGCTAACAGTGACAGACAGGCCCCTCCCTCAGCTGGTGGAGCGCATGGCCAGCTCAAGGCCCTAGGTGCATCCCCCCCCCCCCAGAACTTCAAAGGAGAAAACAAAACTAGGCAATGCCTATCTGCACACTGAGGTCTGGGGCCTTCAGCTTCACTGCCAGATGTCAACTCTGGGTCCTTTGAGGATGTCTGGAGAGTCGCACACATGCACTTTGAAGATTTTGGCGAAGTTGACCAGATTGGGATGAACAGAATTGGCAACTTTCTGTGGGTAAAGGTTTTAAAACTGAACAGGTCTGGCCAGGCGGTGATGGCGCACGCCTTTAATCCCAGCACTCGGGAGGCAGAGGTAGGCTGATCTCTGTGATTTCGAGACCAGCCTGGTCTACAAGAGCTAGTCCCAGGACAGGCTCCAAAACCACAGAGAAACCCTGTCTCGAAAAACCAAAAAAAAAAAAAAAAAAAAAAAAAAAAAAAAACTGAACAGGTCTGAAACTGAAAATCTAAGTGCTCTGTTCAAGCAAGGACACATCTAACCTTACGAACACTGACTTGCTTATAATTGAAGAGGCTAAAATTTCAAGGTATGCATTGGGTACTTGGGATAGACATTGAAGGGAGATTTTAGTATGTTTTCTGTCACAGTTCAGAATTGAATCTGGCAGGGAAAAACAAGTACCTTGCATTAATACTGATTTAATAGAAGAAGCACACAGCCAAGCATGGAGGGCGGGACAGATGACAAGCAGGGGAGGGGCGCGGTCAAGAAGGCAAAGGGTAGGCGCTGGACAAGGGAGCCACGGCAAAGCCAATCCCTGGAGGGGGTGGGGGGATGCTCCGGGCGGCCCCGGGCCTGCGGAGCGCGGAGGTGGGGTGACTCCACCGGACCTCACCTTGTTCACCTGCGCCGCGCACAGCAGGTCGCGGGCCTCCAGGAAGGAAAAGACGTGCAGCAGCTCATGCGGGCCAAGTTGCGGCGCCATCCTGCTCGCGGAGCCCCAGAGCCCTGGCTCGCTTCCGCCACTGTTAGATAAACCCGCCCACATGCGGAACTTGTGTCGATTACTTCCTCTCCCAGCTCGCCTTTCCCCGATCCTGCTGTGGTCCAGGCAACACTTGACCACTGATTTTTTTTTATTGCTTTATAAATAATATCATTCAAAATTTCCACCTCCTCCCCTCCTCCCATTACCCTCCCGCTCCCCCTCCCCTCCAGTCCTAAGAGAGGGCAGGGTACCCTGCCCTGTGGGAGGTCCAAGGCCCTCCCCACTCCATCCAGGTCTAGAAAGGTGTGCATCCAAACAGAGTAGGATTCCAAAAAGCCATTACATGCAGTAGAATCAAATCCCAGTGCCATTATCATTGGCTTCTCAGCCAGCCCCCATTGTCAGCCACATTCAGAGAGTCCGGTTTGATCACATGCTCCATCAGTTCCAGTCCAATTGGCCTTGGTGAGCTCCCATTAAATCAGCCACACTGTCTCAGTGGGTGGGCCAACCCCTCACGGTCCTGACTTCCTTACTCATTTTCTCCCTCCTTCTGCTCTTCAACTGGACCTTGGGAGCTCAGTCCAGTGCTCCGATGTGGGTCTCTGTCTCTATCTCCATCCATCGCCAGACGAAGGTTCTATGGTGATATTCAAGATATTCATCAGGGTGGCTATGGGACAAGGCCAGTTCAGGTACCCTCTTCTCTACTGTCCAAGGAACTAGCTGGGGACATCCCCTTGGATACCTGGGAACTTCTCTAGAGCCACGTCTTTTGCCAACCGTAAAATGGCTCCTTTAATTAAGATATCTTCTTCCCTGTGTCCATATCCGCCCTTCCTCCATCTCAACCATCCCAGATTAATATTGAGGTCTTTAATCCATTTGGACTTGAGTTTTGTGATAGATATGGATCTATTTTCATTCTTCTATAGGTTGACATCCAGTTATGCCAGCACCATTTGTTAAAGATGCTTTCTTTCTTCCATTGTATAATTTTAGCTCCTTTGTCGAAAATCAGGTGTTCATAGGTTTGTGGATTAATATCTGGGTCTTCGATTCTTCTACTTTGCCCACCAGCCTCTTGATCCCAGCTGCCCCTAGCTGGGGACTGCACCTCTGTGTCCCCTGCAGCCACCACAAGAGCTTATCACCGGGCCACGGGTGAGTCAACTCTATAGCATGAAGTAGAAGGGCAGTTCCCCAGTTCTCAGCAGCTGCCACCACCTAAGAGCTCAGAGGATAACATGCAGCAGAGATGCAGCCTGTGCTGCTGTGGCATTTGCTCTCTGCTGCTGGATGCTGCCTGCTCTCCAGGCACTTGTCCCCTGCACATCCTAAAGCTGCTTCATTCCAGTCTCTCATTCTTTACTGCCTCGACGTCAGGCTCCACACACTCGTTTCTCTCCCAGACCCTGTGCTACCGCACAATGAGAAGCCCCAAACTATAGCCTGTAGCTAAGGTTACCCAGGTCAAAAGCCTACACTCTTGCCAGAAACCAGAATCATCTGCATCCTAGATTAGACTGTGTAACAACTGCCCTCTGTCTCAGCAGAAGGTGGCTTTGTTCTACATTTGTGCAGGTGAAGGTCTGGGTGTGCAGAGACACAGGAAGGCCAGTACCTCACATGTCACAGGAGGGTTCAGGAATGTTGAGGTGTGGTTGTCTTCAGCTAAAAGGAGACTCCTGTTACATGGGTTTCCTGGGGAAAATAAATCCACAGGAGAGAAGCCCCTGTTTTCCCTGATGGAGCCTGTGTGAGCTGAGCCGCACAGCCCCTGAGCTCTGCCTGAGTGACAATGTAATGTCATCCTCCGAGCCTGAGGGATCTGAGCCCCACAGCCCCTGAGTTCTGTCTGGGTGACAATGCAATGTCAATCTCCCAGTCTTTGCCTTGCCTCCTTTGGTGCCACACTGAACCCAAGTCCTGCAGTATGGTGGCTACAAGGTGGCGTTTGAAGAGCGTGTCACCCTGCCCTGGGGTCTCCTGCCTTTCCATCTGCTCAGGCCTGTGTGTGTAGTCATGGTTGCCATGGACAGGAAACCTCTGCTCTCACAGGACATGGCACTAACTCTACCAAAGAGACCTCCGACTCTGAGCCATACTTCCTGTGATACCGTTCCAGGGTTCCTTGCTCTTGGCCTTCACCACAAGCCTGGAGAGACCAGCTTCATCCCAGACTTCTGAGGGCAAGCAGAGCCTTCAAACAGGGAATACTATTTCCTAAGAGCAGAGCTGTCTGCTCTGCTGTTCTTGCCTGTTTAATTCCAGAGGGATGAGTCACTAATTGATGGGACAGCTAGACCGAGGAATTCCGGGACTCCTAGTCTGGCGACCTTCATGCATACACATGGCTCTACCACCACATTTGGGGCAGAGAGGGGACATGATCAGAACATGACATGGGGTCACTCAGCAAGTCATTCTGAGCTTCCAGCCCTGCCTTCCCATGACCAGCAGGAGACCAGGCTATCCTACAGGGCTCGTTCACACAGGGGAGGGACTTGTCCAAAAGTGGCTGCAGCCTGGGCCTCCCTCAGCTTCCAGCCAGGCTTTGAGTTCCAGGACCCATCCACAAGGACACAAGGATGCATCAAAACCCAAGAGCAATCACAGCGACTCCCATCAGTACCGTTTTCCTAACTTAAGTGTATGTGTGTGCCTGCTTGTCTGTATGGGCCTGCACACCTGCAGTGTCTGCAGAGGCTTCAGATCCCTGCATCTGGAGTTACCGGCAGCTGTGGGCCACCTGATGTAAGTACCAGGAACCAAACCCAGGTTCTCAGCGAGTGCTTCTGATGACCCATTGTCCCAGCCCCTCCACATTCATCTTTGCAGACTCTGATAGAGCCTATCCAGGTTCTCCTTAGACATGCCGTCCAGACCTTCACATTCCACACTCAGAGACCTCTGAAGTCGCTCATAGACCCTCCCCCATGGACATTTAGTGACACCCACACAGAGAATCCCAAAGTTTCCCCTCAGCCCCCCTCTTTCACACACCTCTGGAGTTCTCTGCAATTTTCACAGACCTCCACACAGAGTCCCCAGTGCCTCCATGGGGCTCTTCATAGACTCCCTCACAGACACGCTTACCTTGTCCTCTAAACTGGCCATAGATCTCCACAGAAGTGCCGAGAATTGTACAGTGCTCACATTGAGAACCCAGAGAGACTTCTGACCAACACAGAAACACCATGCAATAACACCTACAGCACATAGCAACAGTGCATGAGTTTCATGAAATAACACCTGCAGCACACAGCAATAGTGCATGAACTTCATGCGCTAACACCTACAGCACGCAGTAACAGTGCATGAGTTTCATGCAAAAACATCTGCAGCACACAGAAACAGTGAGTGTGTTTCATGCAGTGACACACACGGCACATAGCAACAGTGCATGAGCTTCATGCAATAACACCCGCAGCACACAGCAACAGTCCATGAGCTTACTACAATAATGCCTGCAGCACACAGCAGCAGTGCAGGATCTTCATGAAATTGCAATAACACCCACAGCACACAACGATAATGTATGAGCTTAATGCAATAACACCTGCAGCACAAAGCAATAGTGCATAAGCTTCATGCAATAATAACACATGTAGATGCAGCACTAGTGCATAAGATTCATGCAATAATAACACCTGCAGCAATTGCTGCAATAGCGCATGAGCTTCAGAGTCCAGAGATCTCATAGAAACCCTGCCAGACATGCTCATGTCACCAGGCCAGCCACACTATACTGGAATATGCTAACATGTCATCTAGGAAAGGTGGCCAACAAGGTCTCTTGATTCTGACTTCATTTGGCTCCAGCGATTTGCCCACCTCTGTGGTGATGACATGGAAGCACTTGCTCCTTCACTCAGGATGTGGACTCCCTCCCCTCTACCTACCTGCCTTTGATCTTTCTGCTTCTGCTAATTACTGTTGGTTCTTATTTAACTGATGCCTTAACTAAATGATAATTTCTGTTTGAGTACCATCATGCTGATGTTTATTAGATCCCAATGTAAAGAGGTATCTATCACATAGTCAAGGATTTGCCTCAGGATACAAATCAAGGGGGGTAATATGCCAGCCAAAGTTACATTTGAAAGCTTAATTATTGTGCCTAAGAGATTCACGAATCAAAAATGCTTCTGCTGTGCAAGCGCCTTAAGCAAGGACAGACAGCTCCTGAAATGCTGGAGGCTGCTGTTTATAGAGATCATAAGGCTCATGTTCACTCCCCTAGACACGTTTGTTTAGCCCATCTACACTGGACATGCTTGGCCACACATAGGCAGGAAATATGCCAGGATGTACTCTTGCCACTAATTTGACGTAAGCAGGAGGTGTGCCGGAAGGAAACACATCAGGTGTGTGCTTGCCCTGAGGTACCTGTGGGATGTGGTGAATTTTGGGTTCTAAAGCCTTCTTAAGCCCCTGCAAAACGTCACTTTGGATCATTTCCCTGGAAATCAGATTTGGACTTGGCCAGACAGTCCACCAACATGGTCATTATTTAGTTGAAGCTTGCTTCAAATTTGATTTTAAACTGTGATAGTGATCTTATTCTCAACAGGTGGGATTAACATTGGCCCCTGCACAGAGCTGACCAGACCACTGCAGGGAAGAATCTCTTTGCATTAGCAATTAAAGTTGCCCCAGTGTGGAAGGAGAACTTATTCAGATTGAAGGGGGGAGATTTTGATCCTAATTGTGAGCTGTGCTGGCCGGACTCAGCAATACTCACTCAGTGCTGCCTGGGTCCTTGTAGCCTGATCAGTTGTCTAAAGAGGTTTGAGGGTTTCTCAAAGGATTTTCTACAAACTGATGGAGAAAATGGTTGGTGCAAATCTCTCTTTTGATTACCAAAGGAATGAAGTCAACACTTGAGGGTTGTTGAGATTTCCTCTTGATGGATTTTTCCTGTGACTAATATGAAATGACCTTCTTTGTCTCTTTTAATTGGTTTTAGCTTGAAATCTATTTTGTTAGATATTAGGATAGCTACACCCAAATGCTTCTTAGGTCCATTTGATTGGTATATTTTTCCCCAACCCTTTACTCTGAGATGATGTCTGTCTCTGAGGTTGAGATGTGTTTCTTGTATGCAGAAGAAGGATGGATTCTGTTTTCATATCCAATATGTTAGCCTGTGTCTTTTTATAGGTGAGTTGAGTCCATTTACATTAAGGGATATTAATTTCCAGTGATTTCTATCTCTTGTTAATTTAGTTTTCATTGTTGGTGATGTTAATTTGTACATTTTTCCCTTCTTTGGGATTTGCTGCTATGAGACCATCAATTGTCTGTATTTTTGTTGGTGTGGCCAACTTCCTTGGATTGGAGTTTTCCTTCTAGTATTTTGTGTAGACCTGGGTTTCTGGGTAGGTATTGGTGAAATCTAGTTTTGAGTTGGAATATCTTGTTTGTCCTTCTATGGTGACTGAAAGTTTTGCTGGGTATAGTAGTCTGGACTGGCATCCAGGGTCTCTTAATGTCTGCATAATGCTTGACCATGACCTTCTGGCTTTCAATGTTTCCAATGAGAAATTGGGTATAATTCTGATAGGCCTACCTTTATATGTTATTTTTTCCTTTGCAGCTCTTAATATTCTTTCTTTACTCTGTATGTTTAGTGTTTTGATTATTATGTGACATGAGGACTTTTTTTTGGATCCAGTCTATTTGGTGTTTTGTAAGCTTCTTGTATCTTCATAGGCATATGTTGAAATAGGAGCAGCGGGGCTGCGTCCCCAACACCCCGGCCGCTTGGCTAGCTCATGCCCGAAATAACAACACACAAACTGTATTCATTTAAGAACTGCTTGGCCCATGAACTCTGGCCCTTACAGGCTAATTCTCGCACCTGGACTAGCCCATTTCTAATAATGCGTGTAAGCACCCCAAGGTGCGCTTACCGGGAAGATTCTAGCCTCCGTCCATCCTGGGAAAGTGGAGCATGGTGTCTCTGCTCCAGCAGAGCTGTCGGGTCTCTCCGGGAGCAGAGCAGAGTCTGACCTCACTTCCTCTTCCGCCCAGAATTCTATTCTGTTTCCTCCTCCCATCTATGTTCTAAGCTATGAGGCCAAGCAGTTGGTTTATTACTTAACCAATGAAATCAACAGATTGATATATGACACTCCCACATCAGGCATATCTTTCTTTAGGTTGGGAAAATTTTCTTCTATGATTTTGTTAAATATATTTTCTGTGCTTTGGTTGAAATTCTTCTCCTTCTTCTATACCTATTATTCTTAGACTTGGCCTTTTCATGGTGTCCCACATTTCCTGGATATTTTTGGTTAAGCTTTTGTTAGATTTAATGTTTTCTTTAACCGATGAGACTATTTCCCTATATTATCTTTAGGCTTGAGATTCTCTCTTCCATCTCTTGTATTCTGCTGTTCATGCTTGCAATTGTTTTCTCATGATTCCTGTTTCTATCATTCCCTTGGCTTGTGTTTTCTTTATTGTCTATATTTTAGTTTTCAAGTCTTGAATAGTTACTTTTATGTTGGATTTCTTTTTCTTGGTTTTCTTTGAGGGATTTGCTGATGTCTTCCAGTTATTTGTTTGTCTTTTCCTCCATTTCTTTAAGGGAATTTCTCATTTTCTCTTTCAGAGTTTCAAACATTCTCTTGAAATTATCTTTTAGGTCATTTCTTCTGCTTCATCTATATTTGGTTGTTCAGGTCTTGCTGTTGTAGTGTCTTTAGGTTTTACTGGTGTTGCGTTGCTTTTTGTGGTGTTTCATGTATTCGTACCTTTTCTACTCCCCTTTTCCTCTAATAGATGTGGTTGGGGCTTTCTGAGATTCTGTTAACTAATGTTCTGTTCAGGTGGAGATTGCTGACTCTGGATCAGGTTGCTGGCTCAATCCTGGTCCGCCAGTGTCCTGGGACTGGATTGGCTCCCAGGACTGGACTGGCTCCTGCCGTCTGCTCCCCTGGAGCTTGTTTCCTCAGGCCCACTCTGTCCTAGGTACCTGTTTCAGTGCCACTCCTGTGGAATTTGTTCCATTTTTATTTCTTAATACCATGATACATGATAGCTTTAGAAATGAATTTACTGTCAATTTAGTAAACAGTACAAGATGTAATACAAAAACATAATCATATGTAAATAGACAGATTGTATCTATTTAATCATATATAAGATATATTTTTAAAAACAAAGATTTTAAACATTGTTTGTTGCAATTGTATTTTTGTGCTTTTTATTGTAAAAGAGAAACTCAATTTAGAGATGTTTAGTAATCATATTGTTAGATTGTGCAGAAACAAAAACAGTTCTGTGTGGAACAAAGTGGTCTGAAGAGGAGAGAATGTTTTATCTCAGGCGCATGCCCAGAGAGAGCAGGCAGAAGTACCAGGCATGGCGATGCAGCAGAGGCTGCTGTTGCAGCTCCTCAGTCACTCACAGCAGCTCTGCTTCTAAGAGGGCAGAAGAGTGGTTTCTCAGGAATGGTGACCTCTGCTTTGGTATCGGGGCTGTATTAGCCAGACTACATCAGAGAGAGTGTTTAGTGAGTTGGGTTTCTAAGAACAGGAATGAAGATACAAAAGAGACTTGGAGGTAAGAATAGCAGAAGGAGTAGATGGAGTTACATGGGGGAAACTTAGACCATTTTTATCCTGCTTTATGATGTCAAATCAGTTAAGATATTAAAATCAAAAGGTCAACATTCTGGTCAATGATTATTATACAGTGTTTATTGAGGTCAAACCTGTATCGAGAGGCAAAAGAGTCATCCTGAGTCTCAGTTCTCCTAACTGGAATTCTTTCAGTTAGCCCACAAAAGTTAACAGAGTGAACCAATTCTCTCCTCCCACGTGTGTTCCAGGGATCAAACTCAGGTTATTAGGTTTGGCAGCAAAAGCCCTTCACCCGCTGATCCATCTCTGTGTCTCACTGGCCCCCAATGGGGAGTGGAGGGTGCTAGGAGTTTAGTTCAATGATAAAAGACAAGCCTGGTGTGCATGAGGCCCTGAACTAAGTCCCCAACACATAAAATAAAATCAGTGCTATGGACTCCACTACGCTGGTACAGTGCTAATAGTAGAAATACAATCTACCTTCAATTCTTGTTAAATAAAGACTTTCTGAGCCTGGCGGTGGTGGTGCATGCCTTTAATTCCAGCACTCAGGAGAAACAGGTGAGTTTCCTAGTTCAAGGCCAGCTTGGTCCACAGAGAAAATTCTAGGACAGCCAGAGCTACACAGAGAACCTATGCCAAAACAACAACAACAATGAACTTTCCAGATTCCAGTCGCACTTTTTAAAATTAACTTATTTTATGTTGTGCTGTAGGCAAGCATTCTACCACTCATGCCTCATCTGTACTTTCAAAAAGGGTGTCCGATTTAGCCATTCACCTAAGTATTTTCACATACATAAAAATACATAAATTTCTTTACATGTAAAACATGTATTCTGCATTCCATTCACAAGATGGGCAGCGCTCAGGACGACGGGATCCGCGCCAGCAGCTACAGCTCCTCGGCCGCCACAGCTTCTGCCCCTATCACGGCGTGACCCGGAGTGGGAGGAGCTCGCAGGCCCAGGGAGTGGGAGGGTCCGGGCGCTCGCCCCGCCTCGGCCATGTCCGTCGCTGAGCAAACTCCTACGCGCTCTGGGCGGAGCCCTTTTGCGAGCGCGGGGGCGAGGCTTTGGTTTAGGGGCGGGGTCCTTGTGCCAGAGGCGGGGTCAATACGACGTAGGAGGGGCCTAAGAGTCTTGGGGGTGGCCTGGAGAGCTAAGGCGTCCGCCGGTTCTGGGCGAGGTTTTCACGCCCTGGTAGGGTCTATAGGACAGGAGCCCGGGCGTCTTCTCAGGGGCGGAGCCTGTCAGTATGGGGCGGGGGCTTTGTTCCTGAGGCGGGGCCTACGCGTCACTGCACTGGTCAGGTTGTTGCAACTCAGGTGACCCCTAGGGTCAGAGGAAGGCAGCAGGACTTAGCCAAGGTAAGTTCCCAGCCGGTGAGAAAGGCAGTGCTTTTGCTAAGACAGGGTTCTTCAGAAGGGAGTGTGTGAAAAGCACGGGTGACTAGCCACCCGCGTCCCGGGAACCACCGCAAAACCTGGGGAGAGATCAGAAGGCAGAGGCTTTTTGAGTCCTAAGACTCCGTGCTTAGTGGCGTGTTTCATGTGTTTTACACGTGTCCAAGTGTCATTCCAAAGTCATACTCGAGGTCTGTGCACTTTAGTGAAGTTACTTTTTAGTTTAACGAAATTTAGGAATAAAGCGAAAGCAGACGTCAGGCGTTGTGGTGCAGGCCTGTGACCCAGCTTGAGAGTGCTGAGGCAGGAGGAACTCAGTGAGTTAGAGATCAGCCCCAACTACATGGTAAATTCCAGAAAGACCCTCTGCTTAAAATAATAATAATAATAATCCTAAAGCAGAAACAAGTGTTTTTTAGGGCTTGGACCAATGAGCATACTGGGTGTGAACATTTATGAGAGGAAACTATTGTGGGTTTGTCTTTTCTTATTGTCGTACTTTGCACTTTTATTGTGTTCAGAATTTTATTTCTCCAGAAATGAACAGTGAAAACCACATTGAGGCCCAGTTACTACAGCTAAGTGATTGCATTTATGACGGCCTCAGTGAGAGGGATAGAGCTGGGCAGGGTAAAGGTGATTCCAAGTTCAGAAGAGCACTTCTTTCTGAGAGCAACTTTTGGAGCCACAGTTTCTGATGATAGGAAATCCAGAAGGGAGAAGAGCAATTTCTCTTGCTTTTCTATATCCACAATAATCCCACACTTGCTACTGATCTTTCAGAATTCTAGGCTTTGCCCCCTGACATCAGAACCTGGAAAAAAGCCTTTAGTTAATAAACACTTGCTCTGAGGTGCGTCTTTCTTCCCAGAGTTAAGGATGGTGTCCTTTAATCCTAAGTACCGACTCTAAATCATGCAACAAAATGGGAAATTCCTTACATTGCTACTTTTGTGATGGTTGCTGTTTCACAGATAACATCTTTACATTCAAGTCATATGATTGCCAGGGATTTAAAGGGCAGTTGGGGATTCTGGGAGGAAAATTATATTTCTTTATTTTACTTTATGTGAACAAATGTCTTATTTGTATGCCTGGTTAACATATATTTAAACCACCACGAGACACCATGTAATTTCTGGGAATCGTACATTTGTCCTTTGCAAGAAGAATATGTGCTCTTAATCACGGAATCATCTCTCTAGTTCCTAGAATTGTGGTACTATATTGCCCTTAATATTGAAAGGGCGAGCATCTCCTGACATACTCAATCTGCAGTTGCAGGTACATGAAGCTTCTACCCCCTCAATTCCTTTCTTGTGCATGTTCTCATGCAAGTGGGAGCAGGGCTATAGCTCAGAGGCATACTGCTTGCCTGGAACACATGAACCCATAGGTTCAATTTGCAAGACCCTTCCAAAAGCTATGAGAACGTTATTTGACAATACAATCTTTCAATAATGTAGCAGTAATATATTGAACCCACGTATCTATCTTCTTCACCCCCCTGAAGCCCTACCAAATGTCGGGATTTTTAAATGCGTCAACCATTCATGAAGGAAGCAGAGGACTGCTGGGTAAGCACTCCACGGGTTCAACAGGCTGAACTCTGATCTGGCCATGGGGCCAGCCAATGGATGATCTCGGCAGTACAGCATCCCGAGCCCTCCTGTCTTAACAGTACTAGTCCCAGAAATGGGTGTGGGAGTGGAACTGGGGCAATGATTGGCTGAATTTATGGTTTCAAAAGGGCTAAAATCACAAACTCCTTTCGTCAACTTCTCACAGCCAGGTTTCCACTCCTTGTTACATCTGCAGGCTTGTAGGGTGGGGTGCAGGTTATTCTCTGAAGCCGACTTTCCTGATATAGAACTTAGTGTTCTTAGTCCTAGACTCTCTGAAATGTAATTTTTGGTATGACTTATTGGATGTTGAAAGTTGGGTTTTGTTGTTTGGTTGGTTTTGGTGTTTGTTTATTGTGATACAAGGTCTCACTGTAGCCCTGACTGGCCTGGAACTCACAGAGAGCCTCTTGCCTCTGCCTCCCTAGTGCTGGGCTGAGAGGCATATGCCACCATGCCTGTCTTGTTTGTTTTGTTGAGAGAGGGTCCTGCTGTGCAGCCTTGGCTGGCCTGGAAATGGCAACAACCCTCTTGTCTCTCAAGGACAAGGACTGGGGACATGTGATACCACCCTGGCTTTGATGTTGACATTTTTTAGATTTATTTATTTATTATGTATACAGTGTTCAGTCTGCATGTGTGCCTGCAGGCCAGAAGAGGGCACCAAATCTCATTACAGATCCTTGTGAGCCACCATATGATTGCTGGGACTTGAACTCAGGACCTCTGGAAGAGCAGTCAGTGCTCTTAACCACTGAGCCGTCTATTTTTAAAAAGCTATAGCCAAAAGGTTTTGTATAGTTCATCAATAGAATCACAGGTCCTGATGTCATTGCAGATATTTTTCCATTTAGGCACTGGAGATACCATCCTCTGAGACAAAAATTGTCTTCAAACTATGGCTGATGCCACCTCACTCCGTGTGAAAGAGCTCCCCAATGCTGAAGTGCAGAAGAACCGTGTACTAACCCTGGAAGAATGGCAGGATAGGTGGGTGACCCGTAACATCGGATTTCATCAGGAACAAGGGCATTGGTAAGACGTGTTTGGTCTCTGACAGAGAAATTGACTGGAGTAAGGTGGGGTGGGGAGGTAGTGTGTGCCTCAGTTGGCAGAGAGCCATGCAGGACACTTGGTGTGATCCACAGCACTGAACAAAACTGGGCATGATGGTGTATGCCTGTAATAACAATTGGGAAATGGGATCAAGAAGAATCAGAAGTTGAAGCTACATAAGTGAGTTTGAGGCCAGTGCTTGGCTCCGTGAGACTTTACCTCTGAAAGAAAAGGAAGGGGGAGAAGCAAAAAGAAGCTGACTTTAAATGTAATATTCAAATATAATTTTGGATTTATTTTTATTGTAATCATCTCATATTATGCAGCCTCTCACATACCGGAAAGTATCCATAGCCTGCCATACTTTAATTAGCAGTGTGTGTTTTCTTTCATTGTATAATGATTTGACTTGCAGACAATGACATCTTAGATTTATGAAATGCGTTTTCTTTTTTAAAACCACCATACTTTGGTGCTTATACATGCAGCAAAATGCTGAAGCAAGATTTAAGCTTATGTCTCTGTATGTTCAAAAGTGAGGGTGAAGGCCGGCAACCTGGCCCCGCCCAGGAAGGCATGTGCCACCAACCCCAACAGTCTGCCTTTCATCCCTAAGCCCCACAGCATGAACTGACTCTTGGAAGTTGTCTTCTGACCCCCAGACATGTGCCATGACAGACGTGTACCCATACATACACACACATATATCATAAATTAATTTAATTAAAATCTAAAAAGTTAAGCTCATTGAGAAGCTATTCTGTATTGAAAGGATTGAAAATGTAGATAGGTCTATAGAACACTTAACACCACTTAGGTCACAACAGAAATCAGAGTGTAAATATGGTGATTAGGACAGACTTTTCCAAATGTATCACTCACAGAAGCAGAAGTTATTTAACAGTCATGAAAACTCAGGTCGTTAGTCATATTTAACACTAAGTAGCTGTGTAATGAAGCAAGTTCCTTAGCTGCCCTGTTTCTTTAAGTGTAAGCTGGAGGTTGTAATAATTTACATTATCTTCTTGTTACATTGTTGGGAGCTTGGGAAGTTCTTAGTGTCATTAATTCTATTCCCTTCTCCTGTGCATTGGGCTAGTTAAAGCAAGCACTGTTGTAACTTTGTTTTTCTCCCTAGGCTATTAAAGAAGCATTTGGATACATTCCTTAAAGGCCAGAGTGGACTGAGAGTGTTTTTCCCTCTCTGTGGAAAAGCGGTTGAGATGAAATGGTAACCATTAACTAGTTTTTGTGAAGTAATACTTGGGGTGAATATTTAACAACATATGTGTATGTTTAAAAAAATGGGGGGTGGGGGAGCAGGAGAAGGATAGGGAGTGGGAACTGGGATTGGTATGTAAAATGAGAAAAGATTGTTTAAAAAAATTTTTAAAATATTCTCAGAGTCACCTGTGGCAAGACATACACATAATGGTAGGACGTGAGGTGACAGCAAAAGGATCAGAAATTCAAGATCAGCCTTGGCTACATGTATGTTCAAGGGCCACTAGGCTAGGTGAGGCCCTGTACAAAGAGCCAGTCAAGCAATCATACAAAGATTAACAACAAAATACCATCCTCAAATACGAGCGTCTTTATTTTAGGAGACTCTGTCATAGTTATAATATTAGAGATACTGTTTCCAAATAACAGGAGTGCAAACTGAGTCAGGTATGACCTTGTCTTCCTGTATTTTGTTTCAAAGGCCCCCAGAAAATAGTTTGTGGGGACCTGAGGATTTAGCACAGTTGGTAGAGCACTTGCCTAGCATGCACAAGGTTCAATCCCTGACATTGCTTAAAACAAAGGTGGTGGTATGCACTTGTGATCTTGGCAATTACGGGGTGAATTAATTTGGAACCAGTAGGGGAACTCTAGCTTCCTTTTTCATATCTCCTGGATCTGTGTATGTGGTCTAATGTTTATAAGTAGCTTAGAGATTTCAATAACTATGGATGTTTGGAATGGAAGGCAACAGAAAAACACAAACTAGCACAAGCTTTTAGCAGGAAAGTGTTTGTAGTCCAGAGTTCAGCTCAGCTCTTCCGCCCATGAGCAAATAGGAGATTTTGTTAGTGTGAGTCACCATTATAAACCCAGTGGTGAGGAGAGTAGTTCTTGTGAGCAGTCTTCTGCAGAAAGACCTCACGCCAATCAACAAGTCGCCATTACCACAGGGCTACCCTGAGTCACAACCCTAGAAATTACTTTTACACACAACACTGCTGTCATGATAATGCACAGCCACAAACACAGCTTAAATCTTAAATGTTGAGAACTCCTATCGATCACTAAGCAGGAAAGAAGAAAAGATCAGTGGAAAAGGTTAGTAAATACAAAATAGACTTACCTTTAAAATGCTCAGTCCCCACCCCCATGTCAATACCAGTGATCTACCCATAAAACATATGCATTTGGATTTTATTCTCCAATAGAGAGTAAAATTTTTGCAGCCCACACTGTCTCAACTTATAGCTAAAATTATATATTAAATGGCTGTTACAGGGCTAGGTAGGTGGCTCTGTGGTTAAGAGCACTTGCTGCTCTTGATAGAACGCAGGTTCAATTCCCAGTACCCAGGAACACCCTCTTCTGGCTTCTGTGGTCTCTCTCCCTCTCCCTCCCTCCCCCTCCCTCTCTCTCTCACACACACACACAGAGAAAGAGACACACAGAGAGAGAGAGAGAGAGAGAGAGAGAGAGAGAGAGAGAGAGAGAGAGAGAGAGAGAGCACATACATACAAAGACATACACATAAACAGAAATAAAAAATTAACAAGTAAAAACTTTAAATGGCTGTTATAACCTGATATTCAAATGTGGCCATGAAATTAAGGATTACTTTTCTTATTAGAGCCAAGCTCTAATGGGCTCTTGCCAAACCAGAAGAGAGTGACTTTGCAAGGTACATATGAGAAAACAACTCTGTAAACAGATATGGTAATGGAGCCGAGAGTTTAGGCAACAGTAATGAAACTGTATAGCTAGCTAGCTGGGTGTTTATTGAATATTTTGGGAGTCTCCATTTGTAACAAAAAATTTAAGGTTTGGGGATGTAATTCAGTGGGATAGTCCTTGCCTGGCATCCACCGGCTCAGGCTTCTTTCCCCCAAACTGCAAAAATAATAATAAAAGTTGAAATACAAATACAGAACAGAGCTACTGTCATTGCATATAAGTTATCTTTTCACTCGGGTAACTGACCTATGTGTGTACAGGCATTGGATATGAGTAGATTAACTAGGAACAGGGGCCAAAAAGCATTAAAATGAAATAGGAGCATTATTTTAGGGCTTCACTTTTGCCTTATTTGTATTTCAGGCGATGGCACATGTGCTGGCTGGGAAATAAAAATACATGCAGCCAATTTAGATAACTCCTTTGCTTACGTTTTCTAACTTCACAACTATGTGTGAAGAATGAAGAACCAGTCTCTGTGTGCGAGAGTACATTCCTGGGCAGTATGAGAGACAGGCTATCAGTGCGCTGCACTTTAGAACTATAAACTCTATAAACTATCAACTCTGCCCACGTTGGGAGCGTGCACTCTTGTGATAGTAGACTAGTAGACACCGTCCGTCTTGTTCCTGTTTTGAAATGTACCGTCCGTTCTCAGTTAACAGATGTGAGAATGGTTGGAACATCATGTGATGTCACCTTTGGTCACCTGTTGGCTTCCTCTGCAGAAGACATGAGATAAAAGCCAAACTCCGCCCCCATGAGTGAAACTGCATATGAGCAGACTAAAGTCACATGTGTGCTGTTCAGGCAGTGCCCTGCTGCCTCAGTTTACCCCAGGCCCAGCCTTTCTCCTCCACACTTGGTGTCAGAAACTTCCCACTCAGTTTCCCTCATCCCATCCCTTCACAGCGATTCAAACAGCACATTTTCCAACACCCGCCTTCTGAAACCGCCCTTAGGACTCCATCACAGGGAGTGCCCCATTGTACTGTTTATCCAGCTGCTACACTGACTGGTCTGTGTGGGTCTGCTATGTACTTGTGTATGTGTACTTGTATGTGCAGATACACACGTGTGCAGTCCAAACTCCACATGACGCATCCTCCTTTATCGATCTCCATCTTATTTTTAAAGACCAGGTCTCACTGAACCTGGAGTCTGCTGACAGGCCCCAGGTATCCTCTTGTCCCTGCCTCTCAGCACTGGCATTGCAGGTACGGGCTGTCATGCCTTTCTTTCTCTGTGGGTGCTGGGGATTTGAACTCAGGTCCTCATACTTATGTAGCAAGAACTTTACCTATTGAGCCCTTGCCTCATTCCTAGTTTTCTTTGCTGTGGGGTTTTTTTTCAAGATTTGTTTTAAGTATATGTTGACTGGTGCGTGCACATGAGGGCTGTTGCCCTTGAAGGTCAGGAAATGTCAGGGTATGAGATCCCCTGGAGCTGGAGCTACAGGCCTATGCGAATCATTGTGGTGCAGGTGCTGGGAACTAAACCCCGCTCTTCTGCAAGGGCAGCAGGTGCTCTTAACCACTGGGCTATTTCTCCAGCCCCCTTTGTGGATCTCTGAGACAGGGTCTCCTGTAGCTCACGCTTATCTCAAACACACATAGCTGTGGTTGACCTTGAACGCCGGATCTTCCTGCCTCCACTTCATAAGAAGCCTATGTCCCGTGCCCAACTCACATGGTTTTCATATTGGTTCCTAGCCCTTACTTTCCCCTAGCCTTGTGATTTATATGTATGTATGACTCTGAACATATAACATTTCGCTAGTTTTCTTCTGCTTTTCAGCAGAACCATCTAGTTTTTATGTAATTTGGTATCTCAGTATTTGGGCACCTGCTACTTTTTTTCTGTTTAAGATTTCTGCTCCTGTTTACGATCCTCAGAGTGAGTTTACGATCCTCAAGATAACTATAGAGCTTGTTAGGAAAATGTTGCTATTTACATATAGTAATAAGAGTCATTTTTTCCAATCATGTTAATAAATGGGAATTATAGGATTGTTACCAAAAATGCACAAAGTGTCTCATGCTTGCACTCTACTAGGGCAATACTAGTCACGTATGGCAATTTTTAAAAATTCACTTAATTATATTTTTTCGGTTTTGAAACAGAGTCTTGCTGTCCAGCGTGGCCTCAATCTCAAGCTCTTCAGCTCCACAGTACTGGAACTAGTGGCATAACACAATGCCGGACTTGGCTACTTAAATATAAGCCAAATGAAAATTTAAACTTATTTCTATGGGACTGACCAAATTGCCAGATGCATAGTAGCCAGTGTGGCCAGTGGCTCTGTTTTGTACAGAACATCCACCACATCACACCACCATCACAGAAAATGAATCAATAACCAGTGATAATTTAGAGGGACTGGAAAGCATTTCCTCTAGTCAAATGCATTTAGATGAATGCCTGCGAAGATATGAATCCCTCAAAGTTAAGGAAAAGATGCTGGGCGGTGGTGGCGCATGCCTTTAATCCCAGTACTTGGGAGGCAGAGACAGGTGAATCTCTTGTGAGTTCAAGGCCAGCTTGGTCTACAGGATGAGTTCCAGGATAGGCGCCAAAGCTACACATGGAAACCCTGCCTCGAAAGACAAATAAATAAATAAAAAATTAAGGCAACATACAGATTTGTTTTCTTTTGTTATTTCCGTTCTTATGGAGACGCACTTTCAGCACAGGGCTTAGTGCATGGCAGGGACTCTGGTTAGTGACTGTATTCTCAGCCTAAGGTACTGTCTGTCTATTATGGCTTTTTTCTGTGCTGTATATGAAGTTAATCTGAAGTGTAACTCTTTTTCTGCAGGTTTGCAGACCGGGGCCACACTGTAGTTGGTGTTGAAATCAGTGAAATTGCGATTCGGGAATTTTTTACAGAACAGAATCTTTCGTATACCGAGAAACCACTTACCGAAATTGCTGGTGCCAAAGTATTTATGGTTTGTATCAGTTGTAACTAAGTATTTTCATGCCTCACACACACACACACACAAGAAAAAGACTATTTTTTTCTTTTACCCATGAGTAATTAAGATGTTAAACAGTGTCAAATGGCTCTCGTACCACAGATTAGCCCCATGTGATAGACTGCGGTGAGCTACAGCTTCAGCGTGCAGATGGCAGCTCAGCACTCGCAGGTGGAGGCGGGAGGACCATGAATTCAAGGCTGGCCTAGGCTATTTAGTGAGATTTTTTGTCTCAAAACAAAAGATGCTAGATAGATAAATATGAATGATAAATGATAGAACTAAACATATAGATGATAGTTTGATATGTAGATGATGAATAATAGCTAAATCAATATTAGGAATAGATATAGAGATGGTAAACTATATGTATATATGTATGTATGTACGTACGCATACACACACACAAACATACATATATATGGATATACCATGGTGCCCATGGAGAGGGTAGCGTCAGTTCTCTCCTTCCACCATGGAAGACCCAGGGACTAACCCCAGGTTGTCAGGCTTGGCTGCAACCTTACCCTCTGAGTCATCTGGCTGGCCCACGCCAGGTTTTAAAAGAAAACATAAGTTACAGTTAAACTCCAATGAAGCTATTATATTAAATGAGTGTTCCCCCTGTTTCCTTGGCTTTGTCTGAACCCTGTTTGCTTTCCTTGACTATTTAAAGATTTCCTAGCTAAGTATAGAAAATGGTGGCTCAAGTAGTTAAGAGCACTGGCTGCTCTTCCAAAGGACCCGGGTTCAATTCCCAGCACCCACATGACAGTTCACAACTGTCTGTAACTCCAGTTCCAGGGTATCTGACACCCTCATACAGACATGCATGCAGGCAAAACCCCAATGTACATTAAATAAATAAATCTTAAAAAAAAAGAAAGAAAAATGTTTTCCATTGTTTGGTTACAGAGTTCTTCAGGGAACATCTCAGTGTATTGCTGCAGCCTGTTTGATCTTCCCAGGTAGGACTGAGTGCTCTATCTGCACCCTTATGTGAGTGTGTGAATGAGTGATCCCTTTGCACCAGTGTGTGAGTGTGTGGGGGTGTAAGAGAGAATGAATGTGGGTGTGTGTATGTGTGAAAGCGTGAGTGGGATGTGTGAGTCTATGTGTAAATGTGTACAAGTGCAGGTATGTGTGACTGTTAGTGTGTGTTTCTCTGAGTGACTATGTGCTCTTTCGCCACCATTTTGTATGTGTGTGTGAATGAATATGCCCAAGTGTGAGAGTGTGAGTTAATGTTCGAGTGTGTGCATGCTACGGCACATGAGTGGCAGTCAGGGGACAACCTTAGATGCCAGTCCTTACTACGGCCCTGTGCTAGCTGGCCTTCACACTTGCAGGGATCCTCCTGTCTCCACCTCCCGTCTCACCAGGGGAGCACTGACATTACAAATGTCTTGCTCTTACATGGGTTCTGGCTGTCTAAACTCACATACTCATGCTTATGTGCTAAGTGCTTTATCCACCAAAACAGCCATTTGTTCATTTAATAAGGGATGGTGGCACACGCTTTAATACAGCACTTGAAACAGGCAGAGCTCTGTGAGCTGGAGGCCAACCTGTTCTGCATAGCAAGTTCCAGGTCAGGGCTATATGTGAGATGCTGCCTCGAAGGAAAAAAAAAATAGAAAGAAAAGAAAAGAAAAAAGGTGGTCCTTGGTCCAGCAAGATGGCTAAGAGGATAAAGGTGCTTGTCTTGCAAGCTTAATGACCTAAGTTCAGTTCCTAAAATCCTTGGTAGAAGGAAAGAAGAAACTCGTGAATGTTGTCCTCTGACCTCTGTATGTATGCACACCTTCGTATGCATGTGCTTCCACACACGCACAACACATAAGAATAACGAGTAATAACAGTAACAATGGAGGTGGCCTTGTTTGGCAATGCTGGGCTGGGGTGGGGGATCTGTTTGCCACTCCTGTCCACTCTGAAGCAACAAGCATTGTCCTACAGCTGTCCTTACTAAAGCTCCGTCTTTCCACTTCATGGGTATAGCTCCCAAACCTTCAAAATTGTTATTACGATCCAGAGTAGGTAGACATGGAGAGAGGAAGGCCAAGTCTTTTACCTGGCACCCGAGCCTGTAACCAAACGAATTACAAGGTGCAGGAGGCAATGTGGTACCTGCCAGAGCCTGATGCCTGAGCCAGGGACAGGAACAGAGCTGTCACTCACTGCCTCTTGTGGGATATTTGTACACTGTGTGAAGATGTGTCGCTGTGATTGGTGTAATAAAAAGCTCAAAGGCCAATGGCTAGGCAGGAGGTATAGATGGGACTTCCAGGCAGAGAAAACTCGTGAAGAAGAAAGGCAGAGTTGCCAGTGAGATCAGGAGAGGAAACAGAAGTTGCAAGATGGAAGAGAGTCAATACCAGAACAGATTAATATAAATGGGTTATATTAATCCCATTGATGATGGCAGAACATAGATTAATATAAATGGGTTATATTAATCCCATTAATGATGGCAGAACATAGATTAATATAAACGGGTTAATTTAAGTTATAAGAGCTAGTTGAGATAAGCCTAAGCTAAAGACCAAGCTTTCATAATAAATAATAAGTTTCCATGTCATTATTTGTGAGCTGGCGGCCGATGAAAAAGCTTGCTACAACTTCCTGTGGACAGAGTTCATCTACAGCTGCCCTCTGTCCTCCCTCCTTTTCTAAAGTCACAGCAAAACAAGGAGGCTGCTGAGAGAGTAGAAAGTGGACAGCCCCACACTGGGCCAGTACACCCCTCTAAAGTCTATAAAGAAAAGCCACCATGAGGCCCTGATACCCTGATGATAGGTGAGATTTCCGGCATGTCCCCTGGAGAACCCCAGATAGCCTGTTTGAGATTCGACCTTTTCCAGACAAAATGGAACAACCTTTACCCTCTCTTCTGAGCAGAGTGAATATTGGCAAGTTTGACAGGATTTGGGACAGAGGATCGTTAGTGGCTATCAATCCAGGTGACCACGATCGGTAAGTCGGTTTCTTCGGTTGTTTTGGTTTTCGTTGTGTTAGCTGAGTTTGAGGTGAAGACTCCGGGGTTCGCTCACCTTGCAAGCTCTGTGGCCTCGACCAAAGCACTGTGGCTCTCTGAGCTTCAGTTTGCTCCTCTGTGACATGAGACGATTCTGCTAGCACCATCGCCATTGCTGACAGCTGTTGGACTCTGTCCTCTGCCAGGCATTGTTTGGAATATTCAGTGTGCGACAACACATTTAACTAGCCTGACAGCCCTATGACATGTGTGCTGCCTTGATTCCAATATGCCTGTGAGAAATTTAAGGTCAAAGAGATGTGTTCCAAGTTAGACAGCCAGGACCTGACAGTTGAGTCTAACCTGCCAACTTTGTTCAGAGTGCCACATCACATGACCTTGAAGAGTTGCTGTGGGGATTCAAAACAAAAATATGTGAGCCAGGTGTGGTGGTACACAGCTGTAATCGTGGCGCTTGGGAGTCCAAGGCGATCCTGGGCCATAATGAGGCCATGAGACTATATCTCCTAAATAAAAGAGCAAGGAAATCCATGAGAAATGTGTTATTAACTCTGGCTGAACTTACAAAAGCACTTGTTGATCCTTTGAGTGATCCTGTTTATACCTAACCTGGCTAGAAAGTCAAATCAAGAAAGCGTGTGAGGGAAATGCAATTCTCCTTTTCCTGTGTAAATGCTACATATGCGTCTCTTCAGATTTGGCCGGGTAGATACTTAATTACTCATTACACAGAGGCAGGCTCTTCACATGTGGCCACAAAGTTCAAGCTCCATGTCAGTGACACATATTTTTTTTTTTATTTAAAAAAACCAATTGCTTCATATGTAAGGCCATTGCCAAACCTAATCTGTGAAAACTAGAATATTCCACACCAGAAATATACAAGTTTTCTCTTTCACTGATGATTTCTCTCTCTCTCCTCTCCCCTCCTCTCATTTTCCTTCCCACACCCCACCCCACCCTGCATCCCCATCGGGGCTTTTCTCTGCCGTACTTGCTCCTGAACGATCATTTGAATTCTGTTCCTGGCATTCAGCTTTGCAAAAGCTACTTGTTAGATTCCCATTGGATTCTTAGATGTCCCCTATGTCAGGTGCTGGGGAAGTGGGCGTGCCTTTTGCCAGGATGGTTCTTCTGTCACCCAGATCTTCCAAACATCCACATCACATTTCCAGAGCATGGCCTGCATTTCCCACGTGGCGTTTGTGTTCTTCCTCAGCGCAAAGCATCACCTGAAACCTCTTCGTCTTCATAACGCTCTGTATTTGTGGAGCACATTCAGCTCTGCAAAATGCTGAAGTTTGTAGCTATTTCCTGAGCCCTCTCCAGGATGGTCCTCTGTTTCTTTGCGGTTGGTTCCTTCATGGGTTTTGGTTTGCTCTATAAAAATTCACAGGTTGCCAGGGAGGGAGCAGGATGTTGAGTTCAGATCAAAGGGAAAGCAGGGTCAGTGGACTCAGCTGTTCTCTTAGTATTAGACTTGATATACACTTAGTGCAGGTAAGATATCTGTAATTACCGTGACTAAATGAAGACTATCGAGCTTACATCAGGCAAGACAAATGTACCATTTCTTGCATCAGCTCCTCTGTCCTTAGCTGTGAAGGCCACCCTGGTGGACTCTGACCCTCTGTTCATGGCTAACAAGGCAAGTGACACCCAAGGGGAAGCTTCCTCAGAGAACCAAATTCTAGCTAGCCCAGAGAGTCACAGTCCTCCCTGTTCCCCTGCTCTGCCTCTTCTTCCCCTACCCCCTCTCTGTATGTGTGTGTCTCTATGTCATAGGGTAAACACACTCAAGCATGTTGGACATTGCTTTCAGATTTTTAATTCTTTTGTTTGTGTGTATGTGTATGCACGTATGGTGGATGACCATGGAGGTCAGAAGAGGCCACTGGATACCGTGGAGCTGAACATGCAGGTGGTCGTGAGCCAAACAATCTGGATGCTAGGAATCAAACTTTGGTCCTCTACAAGAGCAGTTTGTGCTTTCTGAGCCATCTCTCCAGCTCCACTTTTCTAGATTCTTTTTGAGATTGATTCATTCCAAGAGGATTGATGGCTGTCAGTTCCAAGAGACAGGGCTGAGCCGCTCTGATGGATCACCTTTCTAGGGACAGGTTTCTTCTTCCCACTTCTTAAGAATAAGAGTCACACCAGCTGTGGTGACTCACATCTGTAAGCCCAGCACGTGAGAGGCTCAGGTAAGAAGGTTGCTGGCAATCTGATGCCAGCCTAAGCTACATGGTGAGTTCCAGGCCAGCCTGAGACTACATGGGGGTGGGAGGGTGTCAGAAAGTTAAAAAGTAAAGGATTCTGCTCAAAAGATTACTTTATTGTTTTTTTCATTTATTTTTTTTTTTTAAAATTGAAGATAAGGTCTCAAGATGAAACCAAGGCTATCTCCAAACTCATATGTAACCCAGGCTGGCCTGGAATTTGAGCCTTCCAGGCCTCCCAGCTCCTAAGATTGTGGGGTGTTTATCCCCACCCTTAGTATACTTCTGCCATTTCTCTTCCTACATATCTGACTCACTGACAACACTCAGCCTCCTCAGCTCCGGGCATCACTCAGCACAGATGCTGTATATAGCTTTCACTGTAGCCACCATGGCTAACAATCAGTCCCTCTCTCTACTTCCTCGGTGTGCAAGTGGAGCCATCAGTCTCCCTCATCACCCCGTACCAGGCCCAGACCTGCTTCATCAGCGTCACAGCCCACTTCTGCACTAACACATGGCTGGGAAGCTGTGTCACCCGCTCTTCGGGGCACCCACTCACAGACCGTCCACAGCACCGGTGGTTAATCCTGTCTTTATAGAGCTTTGATGGTCCATCACCTCAAACTCACCTGTAGCCTGGTCTCACCACTCCATCAAACCAGATGAAAGGGATTCCGCTCTGCCCCTCCTCCTATGCATGTCTCTAGTGGTGTCCTAGTCATGTATGATAGTTGTTCATTGTCAGCATCCCAGCCCAACAGCAGACCTACCGAGTCAAGCTGTGGGTGGAATTCAAGCCTCTTTCCTTCTAGCGTGTGTCTTGGTGTTTTTGAACCCCAGCCTGGTCTGGGAACCCCTGCCCCTGAGCACACAGTAGATTGGTAGTCCTTCAGGAACCATCTGGGCAAGGTCACCAGGTCCCTTAGGACCATATCAGCCTCTGTGTGTCCTGTGGTGTCTTCATGACTGACCTAGCCTGGGAGAAGGCTTCAGCTTGATTCTTCTCTTTACTATTTCCTAGCTTTGGTGGGGGAGCCAAGGGACATAATTTGTTCCATACATTTCTTGCTTTTCAATAAGAACCCCTGGAGGCTGGAGAGGTGGCTGTGGAGTTAGGAACACATCCTGCTCTTCCAGAGGACCTAAGTTCACTTCCCCGTATCCATGTCAGAAGGCTCCCGATTGCTCCAGCTCCAGCTCCAGGGGGATCAGAACCTTTGGCCTCCCTGGACACCAGCACCCACGTGCGCATATACCCCTCCCCCAATACACAGACACATAATTATACATAATTAAAATAACAACTCTTTCAAAGAACCCCTACATAGTTGCGTGTATATGGCGGTACGCAGGCATCCATGCATATAAAACACCCACCCATAAAGTAACCCTTGCCTGGCACAAAGCCTGTGTGCCCACCCTCATCATACCATCCAACTTATGCGGTGTTGCAGGAAGCAGGAGGATCAGAAAGTCAAGGTCAGCCTTGGCTACTTAGTGAGTCTGAGGCCAACCTAGGGCACAAGAACCAGGTCATCTTAGTTCTGTTCTGTTGCTGCGAAGAGACACCATGACCAAGGCAGCTTAGAAATGCGACACTGAATTGGGGGCTGGCTTATAGTTAGTTTCAGAGGCTTAGTCTATGACCATCATGGTGGGGAACATGGCGGCATCACTACAACAGTAGCTGACAGCCCACATCCTGATCTGTAGAAGGGAGGGAGAGAGAGAGAGAGAGCGAGAGAGAGCGAGAGCGAGAGAGAGAGAGAGAGAGAGAGAGAGAGAGAGAGAGAGAGAGAGAGAGATTGAGAGAGAGAGATATTGAGAGAGAGAGAGAGACACCAACCGGACCTAGCTGTGCCTGGTATGGACTTTGGAAACATCAAAGCCCACCCCCAGTGACTTATCTCCTCTAACAAGGCCACACCTCCTAATGCTTCCCATATAATTCCACCAACTGGGGACCAGTGCTCGAATCTGTGAGCCCCTGGAGGCCCGTTCTCATTGAAACCACCGTACAGGTTTATATGGTTACTAGGAGAATTTCACTGCAGGTCGTAGTGTAGTAGTGCATATGGTAGATATTGGCTTCCTTCATTGCCTTTTGTCCCTTCCAGACTCTGTCTGTATAGAGAAATGAAACATACTTTTTTTGTGCTCTTTCTAGCTATGCAGATGTAATACTGTCCCTACTGAACAAAGGGTTTCACTACCTCGTGGCCATCCTTTCTTATGATCCAACTAAACATGCAGGTAAGCCACACTTGTCTGCTTTGTTCCCTGATTTAATTCTATTATTATTTCTTCTTCCCCATCTTATCTCATAGGATGTGTACGGCTTGTGTGTGTGAAGATAATTCTGGGATAATGAGAACAGTAAACCTTTGTGCTCTTCCACACTGTCCTTGTTTTCTTATATTCCTTTCTTGTTTGGTTCATCAGTCATAGTTCAAACTGGAGAAGGGGGAAATGGATGATCCTGATGTAAAGAGATAGCTCAAGAGTCCCAGAATAGAAGAAAGAAATGTGGATGCCCTGCTATGATGGGCATTGCTTGGTTGCCCTGCTATGGGCATTGCATGACTGTGCTGCCCCCAGAGGTGGCATTGCATCAAACAAATGTTGATACACACTCAGGTGCATCCCCACAGGAATTCAAACAGAAGGGGAAGAGGCATGAGGAACTGTGGGGGTTGTGGGGAAATCTCTCAAATGGTGTGCTTTTGTTTTGTTTTGGCAACAAAGTCTTACTTTAAAGCCCAGCTGGTCTAGAACTTACTATGTAGCCTAGGCTAGGACCAAACTCAAGATCTCTGTGCTTCAGTCTCCCAAGTGCCTAGACTGTAGACATGCGCCACCACTCTTAGCCAATCTTAGGTTTTATCTATCGGATGCTACTACCGTCTCTCTGATTTTGTTTGTTTTGTGTAACATTTGGCATCAGTGAGGATCAAACCCAGGGCATTGTCAGTGCTAGGCAAGCCCGTTCTCACTGAGCTTCCTCCCTGGCCTGATCATTTTCAGTCTCTGGAAATGATGGTTCCTCTGACTCATTGTAGACAGTTTTCCTTTCCCCAAGTCATTCTCAAATAATCACTCAGAGGCTTGATATTAACTACAAATATTCGGCCAGTAGCTCAGGCTTATAACTAACTAGCACTTAATTTTATCCCATATTCCTTATTTATGCTCTGCCACATAGTGGTACCTTTATTAGCACGGCACATCCATCTCCTGATCCCTCGGTGTCTTCTGGTGACTCCAGACTCTGCTCTTCTTCCTCCCAGCATTCTCCTGCTGTGAGATAATGCTCTTGTACACTGTAAAGATTCGTTATTCATATTAGTTTAGTAAAATGCTGATTGGCCAGTAGCCAGGTAGAAAGTGTAGGCAAGACGACCAGACTAAGAGAATTCTGGGAAGAGGAAAGGCAGAGAGTCAGTCACCAGCCAGAGGCAGAGAAAGAAAAATGAGAATGCATTGCTGAGAAAAGGTGCCAAGCCACATGGCTAAATATAGACAAGAATTATGGGTTAATTTAAGTTGTAAGAGCTAGTTAATAATAAGCCTGAGCTGATAGGCCAAATAGTATATAGTTAATATAAGCCTCTGTGTGTTTCTTTGGGACTGAATGGCTGCAGGACTGGGAGGGACAGAAACTCCCATCTACAGTCTCCTAGTCTGGCTCTCCTGCCTAACCTTATTCTGTTCAGCTATTGGCCAGTCAGCTTCTTTATTAAACCAATCACAGCAACATTTATTCACCCAGTGTAAAGGAACATTCCACAGCAACTCATTTTGTTGCATTGGGAGTAAGCTTTCTCAGCACTGGGGATGGACCCCAGGGCCTTACAGGTACTAGGCAAGTGCTGTCCCACTGAGCCACCTCCCAGCCTTGGACATTGCATCTTAGTGTTTGCCTTGAACAGGCTTGTATTTTCATGAAGGAGTTAAAATCAAGTATTTAGACTTTTAATTTGTAAGACTCCTGGTGGTTTTCTTGTTGAGGGAGAAGGATGTTTGTTGGGTGGTTGGCTGGTTGATTGTGTTTGAGGCAGTGTCTCATGATGAAGCCCACACTGGTCTCAAACTCAGTATCCTTCTCCCTCCACCTCCTGAGTGCTGGAACCATAGCTGGTTCACTGGGGTTGTTTGTTGGTTTTTGAGAGGGGGCAGTTTCATGTAGCCTAGGCTGGCCTTGAACTCTTGATCCTGCCACCCTAACTTCCTAAACATTGGGATTACAGGTATGAGCTAGTGTGTCTGGCATTGTTTGATTTTTAAATGGCTTTTTTTTTAAGTGCCCCATTTTATTAATATATATGTGTGGTAGTCTATTTGAAAACCTTGGGTCTAAAAAAGACTTGGTGTCTGTAATTATGTCTGAGGCAGTCAGAAGGAAGGAGAAGTCAATGGAGGCCGAAGTGAGCTCTGCTCATCTCGTTTAAGTTCTGCTCATGAGCAGGAGGCCCAGGGAAGATACCATGGGAAGCAGCACAGCTTTAAAGGACGGGGAAGATGCTGCAAGTCCCTGTCCCACAGCTGAGTGGGAGGGATGCAGTGTCAAAGGGCCGAAATCAACAGCCTGGAAGGCGAAGGATACCTAGAGGAACCTGTCAGTGGACTCCACTCTAATCTCTGATATGAGAAATACAAAAGCCAGGTCGGGGGAACAGGAATGTAGCTGAGTTGGTAGAGTGCTTGCCTAGCCAGCAGGAAGCCTCTGGACTGATCCCCAGCACCGTGTAAACCAGATGTAGCAGTGCATGCCTTGGGAGATAGAGCTTGGGGGTCAGAAGCTCAACGTCATCCTTGGCTCCACAGTGAGTTCGAGGCCTGCCTGAACTGCATAAGACCCTATATCTTTAAAACACACACACACGCACCCACACACACACGCACGCACACACGTACAACACACACTAGAAAGTCCTGCTACATGCTCACCTCTCTGGATTTCTGAGTAGTTTATAGAACAAGTCTCCATAACATGACTGAAATTAAACTGAGAGGTGAACCCCACGAATGTGTTTGTTTTCAGAATTAGAGTTGGAGAGATAAACTATTCTTCACCAGACTCTTTTTCTCTTAGGCCCGCCATTTTATGTTCCAGACGCTGAACTTAAAAGGTTATTTGGTAAGTTAACATTCCTCTTTAATACCCATGCCCTGTGTGTGTGTGTGTGTGTGTGTGTGGTGTGTGGCGTGTGGCATGTAGAGGTCACAAGACAAACTTGCAGAAAGTCAATTCTTTCCTTCCACCTCATGGATTTTGGGGATTGCCTCGGGTTGTCAGGCAGGCTTGCAGACACCCTACCAGCGGTTAGAAGTTATGCACTCCCTTTCTCCCCTCCCCCACTTTGTCTCTGTGTAGCCCTAACTGTCCTAGAACTCACAGTATAACCCAGGCTGGCCTTGAACCCAAGAGACCCACCTGCCTCTGCTCCCTGAGTGCTGGGTTAAAGGAGTGGTGCTCTTTATATTTTTAAAGGTTTTTTTTATTATTTTAACTATGTGTATGTGTATACGTGTCTTTATGGATATGTGCACATGTGTAGAGAGGCCAGAAGCATCAGAGCCCCAGGTATTGGAGGGATAGGCAATTGTGAGCAAACCGGGGTCTTCTGCAAGACAGGTAAAGCGCTGTGACTGCTGAGCCATCTCCAGCCCCAATTACGTTCTTTGTAAATAAAGTCAGTAAATCAAGGGTGGTGGACACAACTGTAATCCCAGACCGCAAGTAGCTAAATCAAGAGGAGAAAGTTCCAGGCCAGCCTGAGTCTAGATCAAAGAGAAAAGCCTGTCTGAAAAATAGAATTAAATAAAAGTAAACCAAGCAAGTAAACAGTCAACTGTTCGGTCACTAGTGAACTATCAGTATATGCAATTAAAGCAAATAAAATGTAAAAGCAGAGACTATGATACGAAAGACTGTTTTATCCTAGAAAAGGGACTAGTGGGCCCTTTTATCTGTGTGCTTTATAATAAAGACGCCACCTGTGGTCCTAGCTTTTGGGAGGCTGGTGCTGGAGCATCAGAAGTTCAAGGCAATAACCAATTCAAGGCCAGCTTCATTTTCAGAGGCTGGGAAGATAACGGAGTCTGTGCAGTGTCTGCCAGGCAAGCAGGAAGGACCTGCGTTTGGATCCCCAGCACCCACATCAAAACCAGACCTGGTCATTCATGCCTATGACCCTAGCAGCTGCGGTGGAGGGGGCGCAGGCAGATTCCAGAGCTCTGGGATCACTAAGAAATCCTGCCTCAAAAGATAGAGAGTAATACAGAAGATGCCAAATATCAGCGACCCCCCCCCACCGTACGCATGCATGCGCATGCACGCACATACACAAGCACGCACAAATGCACAAAAAGATAAAGATTTTTAGCCACAAAATCCTCCAGAGCTTTTGTAGAGGCATCCCTGATGTTCTTCACAATGTTTTATTTAACTTGTTATCTTTCTGACTTCAGGTAAGAAGTGCAGCATTCAGTTCCTTGAGGAGGCTGATGCTTTGGAAGAACGACACAAAGCTTGGGGACTTGATTACATTTTTGAAAAATTGTATCTCCTTACAGAAAAGTAAAACACAATCCCAGCATGCGGGAGGCAGGGGCAGGTGGATCTCTGTAAATTCCAGGCCAGCCTGGTGTATAAGCTCCAGGGCAGCCTGGCCTATGCAGAGAAACTCTGTCTTAGAAAAAAAAAAAGCAAAACAAAAATAATCAATCCTTGTATGAGTTTTTAAAAATGAAAGATTATGTTAATGCTTGAAAGTATAAGCACTTGGAATTTTCTTATGCAGCGTACAGATCTTTGCTCATGATTTTTTAAGTGAAGTCGCACATTAAATACCGTGTGTCTTGTTTATAGTCAGCATGTATTACTTCTATAATCAAAAATCTAATGCCTGTAACTTTAAACAATAAATAATATATATATATTATGTATGAAAACTGGAGTCACCAAGGAAACGTAAGATCTTAGTAGGATTTGGGGTAGTCTAAATTGTTTTATTAAAAATTGTACTTTACTATAAATTCTAATCTACTTAGGTCCTGGGATCCCAGCTTCACATATTCCCCCCTTGAATAATTTTATATATAACAGAATCAAGAAACAACAAAGAACAATTTTAAGCCAACCTATATGGGGAAAGTATTTTCTCCAAATTGTAAGAATAAAACCTTTAAAAAAAGTTTCTGAGTTTGGCAATTTTTTTTCTTGTAATTTAGTCTTACTTAGACGGGTGGCACAAGGCTATTTATTTGCGAGTTTAGGTTCAGAATTTGTCAGTTTTTATCAACAATCACATTTTGCTAACTTACACATCACTCTGTATATCCATGCCTCCTAACTCATAAGTGGTTTATATTTCTAACTCGTGTTAATACAGTAATGTGTATTAGTACAGTAATGTGTATTTTAGAAGATAGGTTACCGTGTGTCTGTGGGAATATTTGTGCGAGTCCTAAGGTGATGGTTGTTATTGAGAACACCATTAATATTAATATTGTATATATTCTCCATAGAGATTATCTTTTAAAATTTAAACCTGGGGCTGAAGAGAAGGCTTATGGCTAAGAGCACTTGGCACTCTTGCAGAGGACAGGGGTTTGGCTCCCAGCATGCATATGGCAGTCACTACTGCCTGTTACTACCTCTGTGGAGACAGCACTCTCTTCCTGCTCTGGTGGGCACCAAGCATGCACGTGGTGCAATATATACATGCAGGCAAACTACTCAACACAAAAAAAATTATCTTATTTAATTGTCAATCACTGAGGTTTTATTGAGTTTCCGGGGCTCTCCAAAAGTACTAGTAGGGGAGTAGACTTCCACTACTGCTGATTTTTCTGGAACATTCAGATTTTTATGCTCCTGAATTTGACAACTGTTCACATTCGATCTGTCATTTCTTCACTCCCACAAGGCTCCAGAGAAATGGCTTCAGTTTGGCCTGGCCTTTTGGCATTTAATTTCCTTAAGCTTCTTTCCCTCATCTTTTTCGGCGAGGCAGTCACGTCTTGCTTCTTCTGTAGCTGGGTCAGGACTCAAAAATATATGTTCAATATTAAACTTTGTGTAAACTTCTCAGTGTTGACCTCACACCCTCTATGACAGCACTGAGGATCCTTGGATATCTTTTGTCATTAATCTATTCAAATATCCTGATCAGACTTGCTTCTCGGAAACCTGCCTCGGCCTACGGAGTGAACTTCTAGAAGCTATGAGCACATGACCTCACCTTTGTAGCCAGTTGAACGAACAATATTGGACCACTGAGCTGGGCCAATCCAATTCTCTTTAGAGATTTTTTTTTTTTTTTTAAGCTCAAATCTGGAAAGACAAGTTAGCTGCTCAGAGGGCAAAACTAATAGGTACAGCCAGGATCTCTCGAGTTGCCATGGCTACCACAGAGCTGAGAAGTGGAGACACAGACAGTAGAGGGGCCGCCAGTGTCCCGGTCCCCGATTTTGCCTTCCAGAAGCCCGGTTGCCCAACCTAAGGAAGAAAGTTTCTCTCCTCCGCTCACGCAGTAGCCGAGTTCATTTCCGTAACTCCAACCCAGAGTCTTAAATGGTACAAATGAGATCGCTTTATGTAGTCAGTCTTTTATGTAAAATTTGTCCTCACTGGGGGCATAATTGAGAAAATCTTAACTGACAATCAAATGCCACACTTTTAATTTACTATTTGGGCGTGTCATGCTCACACCTGTGATTCCAGCACGGGATGGTAGAGGCAGGAGGATCAGGAGCTCAGAGTCCGCCTTGGCTCCATAACCAGTGTGAACACAGCAGGAGCCACGTGAGACCCTGTCTCAAACAAACCACAACAAAACTCAAATTCATTGTTAGGGGCTTGATAACGAACCCCTGGGAGTAGGTTGTGCTTCTTAGGCAGCAAAACCTGGGGCTAACGTGCTGATGGAGCAGTACCGTCAGTGGCCTCACAGGGGCAGCAAAGGATTGAGAATGTCGAACAGGTAGGCGTACGAGGCAAGTTGTTGGTTATCTCTGGGGGTTATAAGCTTGGCCACAGGCGGCAATGAATTGGGGTCGAGTTAGACACAAGCACGGGTTCAGTGAGGTCTGTCTGGGAAATACTTTCAAAGACAGCGTCTCATAGCAAGACCAGGTCTGCACTTGTCAGGCTCCATGTGGAAGCCACCGGGAGCGTGTTAGCTTATCTGAATTGGGTGTACCGTTGAGTGTAAAACACACTAGATTTTACTTAGCATATAAAATGAGTATAAAATATCTCTCATATTTTCAAGTGATTACAAGTCCAAGTGATGGTTTTAAGAATACAATTAAACCAATTTCATTTTCTTTGAACTTTTAAGAATGGAGTTACGAGGAAATTATTTTAAAACATGGGTTTCACTATATTTCTGTTGGACAAGACTGGCTCTAAAAATAGCCCAGGTTTTCCTTCCTGAATGTACTTCTCAATTTAAAAATTATTTCTGAGGAGCTGGAGAGATGGCTCAACAGTGAGGAGTACCTGTGGCTCTCGCAGAGACCTGAGCTCGACTCCCAGGGCTCATCGCGTGGCTCACAGCCGTCCGTAATTCCAGTTCCAGGAGTCTTGATAGCCTCTTCTGACGTCCCAGGGCGCCAGGCATGCACACAGTACATATACATAATGCAGAGAAAGTAAAATAACTATATGTGTTACTTCTGAGGAGCTGGAGAGGTTGCTCAATAGTTAAACACACTTGTTGCTCAGTCCTGAGACCCTGCATTTGGATCCCACCATCCACGCAGCAAGTGGCTCACAAACGCCTATCATTCCAGCTCCCAGACACTTAACACTCTCTTCTGGACTCCAGGGGTTCTCATACAGACACACACACATGCGCACACAGAGACAAATAAATCTTAAAAATTAGTATGAAGAGAAATATGTATGAGATATGCTTTTAGTTGGTTTCTTATTTAGGACAGAAATGCGCTCTGAAGTCATATGAACTTCAAGCTCATGGAACACTTGATAAAATGTTTTTCTTTGCCTTCAGTAGAATCTCTCTCCAGGAGTGTTAGACAAGATTGAGGCCTCCATTTTCTTGGAAGTCTATGGAACAAGAGTGTAAACAATCATGATCATGACTTGTAAACAGGCAGGGATAATAAACTCCTAAGTATGAGAGGCCTGAACGTCATAATGGATTCCTGAAGATTACAGTGACCATAACTTTAAGATTATTCCAAGATATGTAGGTCATCCTTACTTTCAAGTTTCCAATTTTTAAATATTTCTTATCATTATTTATATGCATGTGTTTGTATGTTTGTGTGAATGTATGTCACATGCGTGCAAATACATGGAGACCAGAGGGGGACACTGGATTCCCTGGAGCTGGAGTTACCGGTGGTTGTGAACCACTCAGTGTGGGTGCTGGGAACTGAACTCACGTCCTCTAGAAAGGCAGCAAGCGCTCTTTACCCACAGAGCCATCTCTTCAGGGCCTCTAGTTTTAGGCTTATGTGAGACTGGAAGGCAGCGTGAATGAATCACTGGCTCAGACTTACCTGTACATTATAATCCCCCTCACAGCTCCCTGCAGCCCACCCCTCACCCTGGACGGTTAAGCCTTTGTCATATAGAACCGTATTTGAGGATCAGCGCGAGATAGTGAGAGGCCCTGGAGTCAAACTGCCTGGCTTCCCGTCTTAGTCAGGCCAGTCTTTGTCCAGGTCATTCCAATTGTCCAGGAGGCCTGACTGAAACAATGCATGCAGTCACCGAAAAGAAGGCAGGCATGTAGTGAATTCTCTAGTAATTGCTAGTAACTAGAAGTTTTGTTGTTGCTTGCTTGTTTCCTTGAGACAGGTCCTCAGTATGTCGCTCTAGCGGGCCTGGAGCTCACGATATAGCCCACCATGCGAGGCAACTCACATCTTTTAAATATTCCTTCCACACAAACCCATTTTACACGTATTCTTTTGTTTGTTTTTGTTTGGCAGGGTGAGAAGGTTGAGGCACTCTGTGTGTCCTAGGATGGCCTAGCTAACCGTTTGTTTCTGCCTCCTGAGTGCCGGGATTTTAGCTACCATACCCAGGGCTGCAAGTGTTAGGTATCTATCTACCTTCTCACAAGTGTGATAAAACACAGCAAACAAGTATGTAGGTGCACCTGCCTCACCCCCTCGAAGTTATCCTCTTTCGTGTCTCTCTCCTCCGTCAAATCATAATAAACCTAGGCTAGGAGCCCTATCTTACTCCTGCCCAGCCCTGGTACCCAGCACCCAGCGCCGCTGATTGGCAGCTCTGCATGCCGTAAGCATCGGGAGACTAGGTTCTGGTGGGTGCTGGCTTTGCCACTTACAGGCTAACAGCGAGCCACCCACTCGTTCTTCCGAGGTGTGGCTCAACTCTAGAGCCCGGATCTGTCACCCGGTACGTGATGAACCCACGTCTCCGCACGGCGCATGCGAACGACTGCGGCATGTGCCCGCCAGGGGGCAGCAGAGCACACCCGGCCAGCTCGCGTCGCCCCACGTCAGAGCGGATGCCCCGCCCCGTGACCGTGACTGTGACCGTGACCGAGGGCTGCGCGGGGGCCAGGGTGCGACAGGAGCAATGGGGGAGGAGGCGGGGGTGCGGCCCGAGCTGGTGCGAGAGGCGGAGGTCAGCCTGCTGGAGTGCAAGGTGTGTTTCGAGAGGTTCGGCCACCGGCAGCAGCGGCGCCCACGCAACCTGCCCTGTGGCCACGTGGTCTGCCTGGCCTGCGTGGCCGCCCTTGCGCACCCGCGATCGCTGGCCTTCGAATGCCCCTTCTGCCGGCGGGCCTGCAGAGCCTGCGACACCAGCGACTGCCTGCCGGTGTTGCACCTTCTGGAGCTCCTGGGCTCCAGGCTTCGCGCGTCCCCGGCTGCCCTCAATGCCGCTCCCTGCGGGCCCAGGGTGCTCACCTGTCACCACGCCTTTGGCGGGTGGGGGACCCTGGTGAACCCCACGGGGCTTGCACTGTGTCCCAAGACCGGACGGGTCGTGGTCGTGCACGATGGTAAGAGGAGGGTCAAGATCTTTGACACCGGAGGAGGAGGCGCACACCAGTTTGGAGAGAAGGGGGACGCAGCACATGACGTGAAATACCCACAGGACGTCGCTGTCACCAATGACTGCCACGTGGTTGTCACCGACGCTGGCGACCGCTCCCTGAAAGTATTTGATTTCTTCGGCCAGATCAAGCTGGTTGTGGGAAAGCAGTTTTCCCTGCCTTGGGGTGTGGAGATCACCCCTCAGAACCAGGTCCTGATGACTGACACAGAGGCAGGGACCTTGCACCTGCTGGAAGTGGACTTCCCCGAAGGGGTCCTTCGGAGGACCGAGAGATTGCAAGCTCAGCTCTGCAGTCCCCGTGGGGTGGCTGTGTCTTGGCTCACCGGGGCCATCGCGGTCATAGAGCACCCCTGGGCCTTGGGGACCTCAGGCAACAACACACGGGTGAAGGTGTTCAGCGCCACGATGCAGCTGATTGGCCAGGTGGATAGCTTCGGACTGAACCTCCTCTTTCCCTCCAAAATAACGGTCTCAGCTGTGACCTTCGATCCCCAGGGAAACGTGATTGTCGCAGATACCTCCGGACCAGCCATCATATGCTTGGGGAGACCTGAGGCGTTTCCGGCCCTGAAGCCCATGGTCACACATGAACTTTCTCGTCCTGTGGCACTGACCTTCACCAAGGAGAATTCCCTTCTTGTGCTGGATTCGGCTTCCCACTCTGTAAAAGTCTTTAAAGTGCTGGAGGGTAATGGAGGGTGATGGGGACCCGCGGTCCTGGAGTTAGAAGTCCTGGTGTCCTTAGCAGTGAATAGCACCCTGCATGAGTCACTGTCATTCATCCATCCTGGCAGGAATAATGGGAGCTGCCTGGCCGAAGCGCTGGGTGTGAGACAGTTATTGAAGACTAATAATGAAATTTGTCACTTAGTGAACGTCTGTCTGTTCCCGCTGTTAGGAAATGAGTAAGTCTTAGCTCGTTGGCTCCTTAACATGAAGAGATGTGATTTCTGTTATTAGTCCCATTTCAGAGATGAGAAGGCAGATCCAGAGAATTTCGTATGATGTCCTCGAGTCGTTTGTACTGGGACAGTCACAACTGAACTCATTCTGACTGCAAACCCCTTGCTCTTAAATATGATGCCAGATGTTAAAAAAAAATGTGAGTATGTCTTATGTATGTTCCCCCTACACGTAGCTAACTGGTTAAGTGCACCGAGAACCAAAAGAAAGGGGTCTCCGTGGAGTTTCCAGGAGGAAAAGGATTGTGTTTGGGTGTCAGTCACCTTTATCTGGGATTAGTACTGATCCCAAGACTTGTATAAGAAACACAGTTGAAGTCTTGCTTATCAGGCAAGACTTATAACTATATAAAAGGTAGTCTAGTTGCTCTCCATAAAACCCTCGGAGGAGACTGTGCGCCTCCTCTACGGATCCTGTCTGGAGTCTAGTTGGTAGTGTGTGCCAATAATCCCAGCACTTGAGAAGATGTGGAGTTCGATGCCATCGACAGCCACTGAGTTTGAGGCTAGCCTGGGCTACATGACATTCTGTCCTTTTTAGATAGGTGCCAGTGTTTCCTCCTCCACAGGCACTGGGCGCACCCCTGAGTGATGTTTGAGCAGAGCCTCCAGAGCCACTGCCTGCTAGTGGCATGGACAGCTGAGACTCATCTGTTAATTAGGAGATGCCATCCCAGCACCTTCATGGCAGGAATGGTTTCGTTTGCTATGTGGTCCTCTCTGCCGCCTAAAGTCCTTTGTGATGGGAGTTTTCTCTGTGCGCTTTAAAATGTGGTTCTGACGCTGTCCGCTCAATAAACAGTTGCCTCGTCCTTTTTGAGCACTGTAAACACGTCTTGCACTGAAACATGACCTTGGCCCATGCAAGGGCTCCTTAACGCCGCAATTAAGGAGGGGAATAGGAGGAAATTTGGGTGAAGTGCTGATCCTCTGTATGCTTTATTTTTTTTTTTAAGCAAGTGCAAAAATCTTCGAGTTGAAATTGTACCGAATAACTTAAAGCTCTGAAGCAGCAGGGAAATGTTTTCTGGGGGCTGCTCTCAAAAGGTGACAGTTTGCGTTAGACAGTAATGGATACCTTGTCAGCAAAAACGGTATTCTTTTAGCCAAAGAGGCTGTTTGCTTCAGAGACAAGGTCTTGTACGTCCTAGACTAGCCTTGGCCTTGACCTTCAACTTCGGATCCTCCTGTGTCCACCTCCCAAAAACCGGTTGACAGGCTTGCACTGAAACGCCTGGGGTTCTATGGTACGGGAGGTAGATAGAACCCAGGGCTTCTACCTGCTAAGCAAGCCCCTCTACCCACTGAATTACAAAGAGTTTTAAGAGAGATATTGTATCCAGTGAAGGTCGCCCCAAAGGTATGAGTGAGATATCTTCCAAAAGATACGAAAGCTGACATTAGGAGCCCAAAACGAAAGCCCACCTCCCATGCCAGTCCATAAAAATTCATGTCGCTTTTATTTAAAAGTTATTACACTTATTTACTCGGTGTGTGGGTGTGCATGCCATCCTGTGTGTGGAGATCAGCAGACAGCTTGAGTGAGTCTGTTCCCTTCTGCCACCTTCTGGGACCTGGGGATTGAACTCAGGGCATTGGCCTTGGTGGCAAGCACCTTTACTCCCAGCTCCTCCCCCCCCCCCCCCCCCCCCCCCCTTTCCCCCCCCCCCCCCCCCCCCCCCCCCCCCGCACTGTTGTTTTCCCTGCTCCCATCACATAGCACGGACAGTAGCATCTCGGGTATCCCGCAGCACCGTTGGTCCTCTGGTGGGAACTCCAGTGGTTGATTTCTCCCGTCACTTGTTCTTCAGCTGGATATGGTGCCACATACCGATCGATAATCCTAGCACTGGATATGGTGGCACATACCGATCGATAATCCTAGCGCTCAGTTCGCTGAGGCCAGCTTGGGCTACATCGCCAGACCCTGCCTCAAACAAAATTAAATAAATTCTCACTGGTGAACGAGGGACTTCACAGCTATTTTGACGGTATAACAGCAAAACTTCTAGAGGGAAATGTGAGTTCACTGGTGAGGAGGGAAGCAAACTGTGGATCGGTCTTATAATGTCTTCCTTCCGAACCACGGCTTTTCGATGACGTTAGTGTTCGTTGACCCAATTCAAAAGATTTTTTTTTAAAAAAAAAAAATTATCAGTCACATTTTTTAGCCTACGCTCTATGGTGTATCTATAAGGGACCAGCACCCAGGGTGGTTGTGAGGCGTGGCTGTCATCAGGTGGAGAGTCAGCTGTGGGTTTGAACACCGGGCCAGCGTACCCTGGAGATGTGATGACTGAAACTGGTACCCTGGGTAACAGCTTGTCTTCCTTGGGAATAGGGTGGGTCAGGGTACACAGCAAGAAGCATCTAGGGCAGCTCTTCCTGCGAGTCAGTGTGATACGGAGCAGTTTGTCTGTTCTGCATCTCCAAGCATCCTCGGCTGAGGGACTCATGTCATCAACTTGTGACGTGGATCTAAATTTTGTCTTCTGTGCCAAGTTCTTTCAAGCACACTGAACTCCAGGTAGCTAAAGGTGTTGAGGAGTTCTCAGATAATCAAGAAGAAATGGTTCCGGCAGACCACACAGGGTGCCAACGTGATGGGGGAGAGATGGAATGAGACAAGAACATATGACCAGGAGTAAAGAACAAAAGAGACGAATTCTTCCAGGGCACCGGTGATGGCCATCTAGTGACCGCAGAAGCAAACACAGTGCCTGCTTCACGCTCTCTCATCACCTTCCACTCTTCCCCTCGGGCATTATCAGCTGATTTTGACCTCACTCTGCTCTCTAGACCTGGCTTTCTCCATCTTTTGCCTTTGGCATTTTCTAAGAATGGCTCAGAGTCTTAACTCTCTGCTACAGAAACCCTAGCTTTGGTACCGAGGGCTGAAACCATCAAACTTGCTAGGTCCTTGTTTAGACCTGTCAGGGTTCCACTTGGAGGGGGTGCAGACCCCTCTGGAGATTAGCTATATGAACTTTTGAGGAATAAGTGTAATTCCATATATATCAGAAAAATGAACAAGAACTGATGGTCACAGATTTAATGTTCCTTATGTTTGGCCCAGACAAAAGAAATACACCCTGGGGACAAGCCAGATCACAGTGAGGAGGCTCTAGGCAGAGAAAAGAACCCACTAGAGTACTTGGGTGAGGATGCATTCCTTGTGGGATAATCTTTTTTGTACACTGTGAAGATGCATCTGCCTAAAGCAGGTTGGTTTAATAAAGTGCTGAATGGCCAATAGCTAGGCAGGATTAAATAGGTGGACTTCTAGGGGGAGAGAAGGGAACTCAGGAAGAATCTGAGGTGCATTGAATTAAGCAAGCAAGGTGCAGAGCAAGTGGGACCTATGGTATGGAGGAGAGGTAACGGGCCATGTGGCAGAATGTAGATGAATGTAAATGGGTTAGTTTAGGTTATAAGAGCTAGTTGGGAACAAGCCTAAGCTAAGGCCAAACATTCATAATTAATAAGAAGTGTCTGTGTCATTATTTGGGGGGCTGGTGGTCCAAAGAAAGTCCAACAAGAATGACTCACTACACGCACTGGCTGGCCAGGAAGATGGCTCAGCCAGTGAAGGCGCTTGTCACCAAACCTAACTACCTGAGTTGGATCCCTAGGTCAGAAGAGGGCACTGGGACTGGAGGTACAGATGGTTGTGAGCTGCTTTATGGGTACTGGAAATTGGACCCAGATCCTCTGGAAGAGCAGCCAGTGCTCATAACCACTGAGCCATCTCTCTAACCCAGAGAATGGGTTGTTTGTTTTTTTAAACACTCCTTGCCCACCAAGGTGCTTTTCTTGTTCACCCAAAGTTGGATATCCCTTCTCTACCCTACTAACTCAGAACCTAAATGTCCCTTCATGGTATCGTTTCCACTGTGCCCACTATTTGCCCCTGTAGCACCCCCAGTGATGTTTGGGGGGAGAAGGAATGCCACTCTTGGCAGGACTCAGAGCCTAGGCCCACAACAAAGATGGACTGTCCACTTCTGAGTGTTGCATGATCTATGCGATGGTCCTTCTTTGACCAGCTAGAGAGCAGTCAGCAAATATGAAGGGACTTGTTTCTGAGCTGGAAGGTCTCCAACAGGGTGTGGGGGAGAAGGTTTCATGATGGGAATCAAGTTCAGTGAATTTCTTTAAATCAACTACTGATTTTTTTTGTTTGTTTGTTTTTTGTTTTTTCGAGACAGGGTTTCTCTGTGGCTTTGGAGCCTGTCCTGGAACTAGCTCTGTAGACCAGGCTGGTCTCGAACTCACAGAGATCCGCCTGCCTCTGCCTCCCGAGTGCTGGGATTAAAGGCATGCGCCACCATCGCCCGGCCTGATTTTAAAAAGAAAGAAAGAAAGAAAGAAAGAAAGAAAGAAAGAAAGAAAGAAAGAAAGAAAGAAAGAAAAAATGAAATGAGCTTGCTTTCAGAATTGCCAACGTTCTGTAGCTTTCTGGCCAGACTGTTGTATAGGACCGACTCAATGCTGGGAGCAACTTCAACAGGGAAGTGCCAAATGGTGGGCCAAGAAGACGCTACTCTTTCCAAACTTGGAATCTTCAAGGTCCTCTCCTAGTTCATTCTCTTGTCACCTAAGAGAAGTGGAAATAGCAGGAAGTGTACGCATTATAAGAGGAGATTTGTAGAATGGCTTCCCCCATAGGATTTGGGTAGGATTTGGGTGCAGAACAGGCCCTAGAAGCAGAGAAATGATAGCTGTTTCCTCAGTCCACGAAGCCTTGACAGTCCCAGTTACTGAAGACCTAGAGGATTCCTGGAGAGCTCCTGGCATCCAGTCTGCCTCAGTCTGAAGGCAGCAGAGGATGGCAGCCCCAGCAGCGGCAGAAGGGCAAATGCCCTAGGGAAGGAGGGAGAACAGGCAGACATCTCTGCCTTTCCTTGGGCCTTTTCTATCTGGGCCACCTGCTGGAAAGTGCTGCCCACTCTGAGAGTTGGTCTTCCCCCTCAGTTAATCCTCACAGGCACACCAGATGTGTATCTTCTAGGAGATTCCACTCACAATCAAGATTAGCCACTGCTCTGCCATTCCCTTGATGGCTATCTGCCCCTCCCCCCAACAATAGAAGCAACACATGTTTACTGTAGTGTTGGAAAATGCAGCTAAATATAGATCCTGAAGCACTTTCAATTAAAAAAAAACCCTACAGTTACTATTTCTGCAGAGTTGACTGCTGCCAACCCAGGATTAGTAGTCTTAGAAATTACATCATATACCCAAATTTCATTACAAAAAAAAAAAAAAAAAAACAGTGAAGGCATTACATAAGCCACAAATTCCCCTGCCAAAAAGGAAATTTTAGGGGCACACAACCAGACATGGGAAGGGAAGCTCCACGGGGTCGGGAGCGAGCACAAGGACAGCAGACATCTGCCCTCCTCATGTCTCAGCCCTCTGCAGTACAACAGGATCATGTGACCAGCTCTCCCTGTGCCCTGAGAGGACAGGAAGAGAGAAGGCAAAAGGGATGCAGATGCAGATAAATGTTGAGGTTAAGCTGAGCTCTCCTGTTTTATAATGCCAGCGCTGTATCTGCAGGGATAGAAGACAATGCTTTGGGTAACCAGGTGGGTACACTGCCAGCACTGTATCTGCATGGATGGACTACACTTTGGGTAACCAGGTGGGTACACTGAGTTCATTCTCTGCTCCTTGTTCTGTGTCTTAAGTTTCTTTTACTTAGCATTTTCTGTGCTAGCTTCACAGTTTCTTCTTTTTTATATTTAATAAATTTATTTATTTATTTTACATCCTGGCCACAGTTTCCCTTCCCTCCTCTCTTCCCGGTCCCTCATCCCCATCCTCCCTCTGTTCCTATCCTACAATCCACTCCTCCATTTCTGTTTAGGAAATGGCGGGTCTCCCATGAGCATCAACAAAACATGACATATCAAATATGCAATAAGATAAGCACCTCCCATGTATTAAGGCTAGACAGTAGGAGTAGGGTGCCAGAAGTCTACAAAAAAGTCAGAGACAGCCCCTGCTGTGGGAGCTCCTTCCACTCCTTCAGCCAATAGCCTTTAAGATACCAGCCCACTTGGGCGTGGTCTCTTATACTATAAAAGCAGCTGTAAAGCCTGGGCTAGCTCTCTTGCTTCTGGCTCTGAAGTCCAGCTGCTAGACTCTGTTCCTGTTCCCCATTCATGCAGAGAACTGTGATTTAGGACAGTGATATGTAAGTCTCCCCTAAATAAATAATCCTTTATTATATGTAATCCTGAACAAGTGTGGGATTATTTTCTACCTTCTACCATCGAGCCCCTGTTCTAGCTGTTAGGAGTCCCACAAGAGGGCCAAGCTACACCTATGACATATATGCAGAGAGCCCAGGTCAGTCCCATGCAGGCTCCCTGTTTGTCGCTGTGATCTCTGTGAGCCCCTGTAAACCCAGGATAGTTGATTCTCTGAGATTCCTTGTATCTTAAACATGCAAAGTTGGGTAGCTGGGGAAGGGATATGGGTCTGGGAAGGTTGCATAAAGATCATGAAATGAATCATATGAAATGTTCAAAGAAGTAGTAGAAAATGAGGAAAAACAGGAGTGTATACTGCTCTTGCACAGGACACAGATTCGGTTCCCAGCACACACAGCAGGTGTCTTGCATCTGCCTACAACTCCAGAGATCTTAAGCCCACCCTATTCTGCAACTCCATGGCACCTGCACTCACAGAACATAAACACACACACACACAAACACACACACAAGCTGAAAATGATAAACATAAATCTTCTTAAAAGAGTAATAGGATGTTAGGGCGACCTGGGAATAGCTTCGATTCCAGGCACACATCACATGGTCAGGAAATCCAGAATAAATCCTGACAATGCATTGACTCCGTAGGCTATTTTCACAGCCTGGTTTAGAGGTATTTGTTGCCAGTTCACATATTAAATTTTCTATGAGGCGCTATCTCTGTGGTGAAGCTTGCCAATAATTTATGAATGGTGTTGAGCACCATCCCCTCACGAAGTTGCCATCAATGAAAGACTTCCCGCGAGGATATGACCTTCACTTGGGTTCCATAGTGTCTCTTCCCGCCAAGTTAAACTCATTACCATCCTCCCTCCTGGGGAGACTGGGCTAACCCCCAGCACTCTCCTGCTGGCATATTCTGAAGCTGGCTCCTTTGGGGCTTTCAGGTTTCAGGTCCCCCGTTTAGTAAGGGGCTTTGGTTAAAGGGTTTTTTAATCTGGGATGCACCGTCCAGTACACAGGCTTGTCACTGGCCCCCAAGCAGGCTGGGTGACAGTCCTGACCCTGACTTACTCCAGACCCAAGTTGACAAGACAAATACTTCCTTATGGTCCTCGCTGGAGGTGTTCTCCTGCCGTCGTCTGTGCTCTTGCTGTATTGAGATGCTCTGCATCCTCCAAACAGGCTCAGCCGGGCCAAGGCTAGACACTGTGACCTTGAGGGCGTCACTTCTGTTCTCCTTTGCCCAACATCAGTAGCTCAGGTGGCCAAGCTCTTGTGCTCTTACCAGGGAGCGATCCAGTCCAAATCAGCCATCCACTGTGATATGTTCTTTGTTACCTAATGCTACGACAGGGTGAACATCCATGCAGGCTAGTTTTATGTCACCTGGACACAGGCTAGAGTCATAGAGAAGAGAGAACCTCAATTAAAAAAAAAAAAGCCCCCACCAGATTGGCCTGGGAGGCATTTTCTTGATTAATGATTGAGGTGGGTGGGATCATCCAACTGTGGGCAGTGCTGTTTCTGGGCAGATGGTCTTGGTGTATAAAAAAGCAGGCTGAGTGACCAACCAGTTGGGGGCCAACCCAGGAAGTTCCATCCTCTATGGTTTCTGCTTCAGTTCCTGCTTGCAGGTTCCTGCCTTGAGTACCTGCCCTGGCTTCCTTTGCTGAAAGCCTGTGATGTATGAGTGTAAGCCAAATGAATCATTTCTCCCTGGGTTGCTTTTGGGCATAGTGCTTTATCACAGCCTTAGAAGCCCTAATTAAGACAGCACTCATGAGTCCCAAATCTGAAACTCACAATGCTCCAAAAATCTAAAATGTTTGAGTTCTAATAAGTAGAAAGTTTCTAATCATAACTTCTGTCACAGACCATAAACAAAAAGCATATTTTTTTTCAAATATTGTGGAAAGGGCTGGAGAGATGGCTCAGCGGTTAAGAGCATTGCCTGCTCTTCCAAAGGTCCTGAGTTCAATTCCCAGCAACCACATGGTGGCTCACAACCATCTGTAATGGGGTCTGGTGCCCTCTTCTGGCCTGCAGGTATACATGCAGACAAAACACTGTATACATAATGAGTAAATAAATAAATATTTAAAAAAATATTGTGGAAAGTGGGCTTAAGGCACTGTGTTTACAGTGCGCAAGAAACATAACGAACTTGTTTAAACATGGGTCCCATGCCCAGATGTCTCATTATGTGATATACTAATATTCCAGACCTTGCCATGGCCAAGAAACCTCCCATCCCAAGCACGGATGAGATACCAGATTCCTGTAAAGAACACTGAAATTATGAAGTTTGGAGTAGGAAGCCAAAGAAAATATTCCATTTTTTTTTTAAAGTAGGAGCTGAGCTGCTGGGCATTAACTGAAATGATTTCTCTTCATGCTTCTTAGATACATAAAACTTTAAAGTTTACCACAATCCCAGAGGTGCTGATGTCTACAAACCCTGATGCCTATAAATGAGTAACCTGAGCCTGGGTGGATCTCGGGAAAAATAAACCAGATAGCAGAAAAACTGGAATGCTAAACTGTGCTATGCTTTTTATTCAGCGGTGGAGTGTGCTTGGGATGCCTTTTCAGCGTGGATACAAAGGGTGAAGGATAAATGGATGACGTCAGCTCACTTGACTCCTGACCTACTTTCCCCCACGGTGTCTTACTCCTACAGGCAAACATCTTCCCTGTAGCTACCATGTTTACTTAAAATCAATCACCACGGTAAATATAATCAGTGCATAGTGTAGACCCCTAGGCATATGGAAAATAATAGAATGAAGTCATGTGTTTACATATATTTACAAGTTAAATAGTTTTTTTTTTTTACTGTAGTACTTTAGTACTCTGTGCCATTAATAAGTCATTCTGCATCGTAAGCAGGGCTACAGTGCCTGACAAACCATGATGTCACCGGTCTAGCACTGGGAAATGTCTTAATGGAGGCAAGAATTTGCACCTTTCTTCCCAAAGCTCA